ACACATATATATATATATCTCTCTTCGAGACAGATCTATACAAAGATATGTCTTTCTATATCTATCTATATCTATCTATGGATATATATATATCTATTTATATATATATACATGGACCCAGGGGTGCGGATGCCAAAGACTCACTTTAGGCGGTGTCATTGCAGTTGACTTGTCAATAGCTGTTTATCGATCCCCCTTGATTGAAGCTCTATATGGAAGGGAAGAACCCATGTCCGGATGAAATGATTAAACCCATACTATAAATGTTTCTTTATCATATTTTATGTGGTCTGGAATATGGGTACCATAATATACAAGTAATAAAGTGGGATGGAGAAACCTTAAAATTCAACGAGGTCTGCATACCACTATTTATAAACACATATGCGCACGAAAACATGATCAGAATTCCTTGTCCCGATTCTGCTGGGGCGCGAACGGTTCGCGAAAGGGTGGCGTGCGGGCAGTTTTCGGGTACCAGAATATTGACCAACTCCGAAAAGATTTGTATGAAATGGAACATAACATAAACCCAATGTGAATTTCAGTGGGACCACTTCATAGCAGGTCCATTTCATAGAATAGGGAACGTCACAAACACCTATGTTGTTTATAAAAGTGCTGCTTCGAGTCTGATAAAGTGTCCGAACATAAGCAATAATTTGGCCGTAACATATCTTCAGATACCTTCAAATATCCCCCTTGGAATTTCCTCTACAGAATCAAGAACGTTGGGTCCTGGAAAATGGTGCGTTTTAACCCCCTGCTTTGTTTAGGGGTACCTACCCAGTGTCAACGCTTTCAATTGTATAGAGGACCTTGGGGCCTCTGATTCTATAGAGATTTCATGTTGAATACAGCACTGAGTCCTAGTCAGCAGAAAGCCTTAGCCACTGCGATTCTATAGTTGGATCTGTTCTCTTTGGGTGTATGTCATGTTCTTCAATTCTATAGAGAAGTATTGGCAGAACAAATTTCCCACAACAATTCGTTCATCATCATTGATCATCCTTGTATATAATCGAAGAGGTTGACAGTGAAGACTTGGAGCCTTTGAGCTCTATAAAATTGGGAATGCATAAGGTAAGGTAGGCAAGAGCAACTGGAGCATTCAGGTCAGCTGTCAATGAATGACACTTGGGGAGCCTGATTTTATAGAAGGCCAACTAACCCCCCCAACCAAAAAACGGCTCTACGAGAGTGACTTGGGGGCAGCGATTCTAAAGAGATTGTCAACTTGAAAATACCTTGGGGTCTCTGATTCTATAGATGCATTTTCAGAAAGAGGGCCAATGTCTCCAGAATTATCACTATAAAAGTGTCAACACCGTGTGCAGCAGGTTGCAGGTGCGCTTGGGCTATATCACCCGCAAACGCGCTGTGGAAGCAGTCATGCAGCAGGAGAGCGAAAGTCGCCTCCGACGTGAGCAGGCCGAAGTGGTGGCTCAGCTCCAGCCATTGCAAAAGCCATTTTTGCCAGAAGTGGTTGCCCGAGTCGAAGACTGGGCCAAACAGTATTCCATTTTAGATTCTCGGTACAAATTTCTTGTGCTCCGGGCGCCTTCGCGCGCTGGCAAAAGCACCTTGGCAAAATGCCTCCATTTCGTTTTGCCTACGTATATCCAGAAGCCTCCTTTCATTCAAACTGTCCAGGGTGCCACGGCCGCTGAGTTACAACATTACGACAGAGATTCTCACGGCTTTATCCTGTTCGACAATTGCAATTCTATGTCCTTTGTGCTATCTCAGCGGGCCTTATTTCAGGCAAACCCAGACTTTCATCGCTTAGGCCAGTCACAGACGAACATATTCTCATATCAGGTTTATTTATTCAGGGTCCCCATTGTGATCACCATAGATGAATCAACTGACTGGGATGATGACGAACCATGGATTCGCGAGAATCAGCATTTGGTGCAGCTTACCGGCCCGTGTTATCATTTGGAGTAACAGCCTGCATGGGGTAGAGAAAGGCATGGCTTGGGTTAGGTTTGTGAAACCGCCTGCGGGGGAGATTTGAGTCTACAGCTGCTTGAACCCTCAATGTAGTTGTTGTGTAATTTGGGTAGCGTTGTTGTGTAATGTAGCGTAGTATTTTTGTACTTGTAGTCGTAGTAGTAGTGTAGTGTAGTGGTACTTGTAGTTGCAGTTGTAGTTGTCTCTCTCTCTCTCTCTATCTGTGTATCTGCAAGCTTGAAAACCAAGATATTCTGCGAGACTTCTTCATTTTTCAAAGTTGACAACATCAAAAACGAAGCAATTCTGCGAGAATTCTTCAATTTTTGAACTTGACAACGTCAAAAACGAAGCCAACGTCAAAAACGAAGCAATTCTGCGAGACTTCCTCATTTTTTGAAGTTGACAACATCAAAAAACGAAGCAATTCTGCGAGACTTCCTTCAAAAATCGAAAGTTGAGTGCAGAGCTCGCGGCCTCGTCCCCATGCGCCTTGCGATTTTTCCAGCCCATGTGTCTAAAGTATTGCGCCTGCCACGAAAAAGTGAAGCCAGGTCATACGAAGTGCTGCGCCTGTCACGCAAAATCATCTTCCCAAAAGCGAAGATCTGATGCTCCAAAATGCAACCCCTCTCAGGAAATCAGCACCCGGACCTCCTAACATCTCTGATGAACATGTCTCTTGTGCTGCGCATGCCATGCGAAATGCATCTTTGCAGATCCTCTTGATGTGTCACATGCCTGCCATAGTTTTTGGACATTTTAGAAAACCCTCACCTTTTACTCACTTTTGGCAAGGTGCAGAATCCCTTGCCCCTGCCACGCGAAACGACATCCGAACGTCCAAAAGTGGTCCGAGCATGTTGACTTGGAAATGTGCTTCGCGCCACAACGGCGTGCACTTTTTCGACATCTCAACTTCCAAAAAGTGCTCATGAACCCGTCAGTTTTTTACACTTTTGACTTCGAAATGTGCTTCGCGCCGCAACGGCGTGCACTTTTTCATCTCTCATCTGGCCAGCTGGCTCCGCACCCGCCGCTTTAAAACTTCAGCGAGCCTACTGTTCGACCCTCCGAGCCAAAAATCATTGGAAAAACACAGTGTTTCGCGACTTTCCTACCTTTTCGCGCACCTAGATCTTCTTTCTTCTGAGACTTTCTCTTTTTTGTTTTTCTTTCTTCTTCTCTTCCTCTCCTCTCCTCTCCTCTTCTCTTCTCTTCTCTTCTCTTCTCTGACTTTCCCCCATCTCTGCTTTTCATCTGTCTATATTGTCGGAAGTTTGACTTCTAAACTTCTTTCGAATATACTAGCACTTGTACTTGTCGAAGATGAGTTTACATGGTTTTACTTGGTGTGACTTAAAGTCAACCAGAGTTGAGCTGGAGATGCAATAATGGAGATGGTCCACACGTCTCAGCCAGAGGCCTTGTTCTATCATCGTCGACGAGACGATCAGTCCGAAGCATGGGTCTCACGGGCAATGGCAAACTCAGGGACCACAGCATATTCAGAGTGATGTGATGCCTTAAGATGCGCACTCTTCACTTAAGTCTGGCACAGTCTGTCTGAACCGCAAACATGCTATACAGCTGAAAAATGTCGAAAAAAATTTGAACTGATGGGTTTCTTTCATTTGACAGTATTTGACATTTGACAGGATCTGATCTTCACACTCGATTCCGCATAGTTTCTTGACCTTTCTTGCAATGTTTGCAGTATTTTGCAGTACTGGTTTCAAAGGATAAATTTGGAAGTTGCGAGATGTTGTGAGTGTTCCTCGCTGACCCTGAAAGGCCTGAGATCTGCAAGGCAGTTCTGAGGAATTCACGCATGGAAAGAAACAAGGAATGCTGCGACGGTGGTTGCCAGATGTTGTTTGCTTCTACAAATGTTGTGACTTAGCTGTAAAAGTCAGCTATATACTAGTTTGAGTTTAAGCCTGTACTCCGAGTTTCTTGTTTGCCACTGTTTGCGTCCGTGTTGCTGGCTGGAATTTAAGACAAACCAAGTGAACCCTGAGCGTGTCAGCGATGCAGCCTTGCACAGAGCATCTTCAACCACGCCGTGGAATGGCCTTGCACAATCATAGCATTAGGCACTGGCAAGAATTGCCAACGTCGAATGGGTGTGCGAAGCTGTGGAATCAAGAGTCTACGAGTCTACGCTTATGAAGGTGAACGTTCAGGGGAAGGAACTGAAGCTGGGATTGTCTCAACTTGCCCACTAGTCTGTCAAGTTATGCCAAGTTTCCATATATTGGTTTCTCCATGTTCCTCCTAATTCTCAGCAACTTAGACTCTGGACAGGCTAATGGTCGAATCCGCACCAAGAACCCAGTACGGCTCAAAGAAGCCGGACAGCTCTGGGTGCCTAAAAATGAACCCCAAGGACATCCAAAGATCATACTAGTCGCTAGAAAACAACAACAGTACCAAACCTCAAAGCAAATGCCAGTGACTTGGGGATGTTTTCAGCCAATGTCGTCCCGGAGTTTTGGAGAGTGATGCCAGCAGAATATATACTGGATTCGGGGGTCGTCACTAGAAGCCCCGGGTCCATGCCACATGTTGTTCAATTTGCTACCATAATATTACATAAATATAAGACAATATCATTGACAATACTATACTGTCTTAACGCAATACCTTTTGTATTCGCACCGGAGATCAATAAGGGAGTTCAACGAGCACTTGCTCCTATGCCAGCCAAATGAGGTTAAGGAGATAGAGCCCTTCCAGTGACTAGTGACCTGCGCATCATGCATGTTCACACGTTTTTTGTCCACAGCCACTCCACAGAGGAGGTCAAAGCTATCCGTAATCCACTCACAAAGCTGTCAAGTGATAGTTCAGTCTATTCACAAAGATCCATCGCCTGGAGTATTGTATGCCATGCAACAAGTCAGCAGACATCAGCAGACAGAACAAATTCTTCGTTTTGAGCTGGTAGATAGTCATTTGTACGTTGATTAAGTGAATGACTGCATGCCTTGAGACAAACAGAACCAAACCTTATTCTTAGTCCTCACATGTCCTCACATGATATGGTTGAGTTCATCCGAGATTCGTCATCGAGTTCTGCCTCAGCCTCTGCTAGCTGCTGGAAAGACAATGGACGGAGAATGGATACGTGCATTCAAGGGACATGTTCCACATATTTCCAAATCTAAGCCACGCTGCAAACAGGGCACATTGCTGTGCTGCTTTGTTTTGGGCTTTTCTCCCTTTTTTCTGTCGCCCACGAATATGGTTGTGGACTGTTTCAGACCTTCCCAGATGTGACAGCCATCCTTCACCATACGAACCTTTACAATAGCATCTTTAAATATCTTTAAACCATTGTGGCCTGTTTGTAGCAGTGATGTTTGCGAGTCAGCGAATATTTCCACGCTAAGGACAGCGGAACACCTAGCAACGAAACACTGGCCTACCATCAGTACGATGCTAATCTGACTGATCTGGAAGATGATGAAGGGTCGAGTCCTGAGCTTTGGCGTCGTTGCGCTCGAAGTTTTCGAACTAAATGTCCTTTGATTAAGTAGTGCATTATAGTGGTGTATTGCTAAGGCAACTAGGGTTCAGAATGTTACACATATCATCAGGATCCATCTCACATTTGTTCCTATTCCACAGCTGGGAGTTCTTCGAAGGCCTTGGTGGGAGAATATGATCCCGAAGGCAGAGGTGCCAGAGGCCGCAGGGATTTAGGGAAACAAGAAAAGGGGCAGCGGGATGTGCGATTTTTTGGTGGGAACATATGGAACATATGAATTTACAAGTATATCAAGTGTACAATAAGTTACAATATATATATATATATATGTATATAATGATTATATATAACTGGGAACATACGGTTCACAGCCCATGCTTACTGCGAACATGTTTGCCCATATGGGTTCTTACTTCATGCATAAAATCCTTAATTCTGTTTAATATGAAAATTAACTGTAGCTAAGGGGTTTCATTGCAACTTTGAGGAGCCTGCCCTAGATGCATTTTGACATGTCCCACGGGCAGAATCACGAAAACTTGCAAAGGCCTTTAGGGCAGAGCACGAACGGCGTGAAGGCGGCTTTGGGATGTCAATGGCCCCGCCGGGAGTTCCCGTGCTCTTTGTTCAAAGAACATTAAACCACTGCCTTTATTAAATCATGTTAAACGCAGTGTGTGCAGCGAAAGGCCCGTGACTGGATGTTGTTTGCCAGCGGGGCAAGGTTTATGTTTTGGTCAGTGGGAGGAGAGGAATGTCGCTCTCTTTGTGAGCAATACCAGTAGATCAACAGACATCAAGAGACGCTTGTTCCAACTGACAAAGATCAGATGTCCACACGCTTTGGCCAGATTGTTAAGCATGGTGCCAATTGTCTCCATCGCCAGACAACAACCCCTCAAGAAATAATATAGAAAAGTAAAATCCTACTAAGTTACTTGAATGGGGGATAAATCACTTTTCTATCTTTTTGGGGGTTGCTATAGATGCTGAGAAGAACTGTCAGGTTTTGCCCCTAATAGACTGATAGAATCCCATCGAACTGCGCCAGGTTACAAGGGTCCACGGAATGCATTAGGTTCCGATTTCTGGGAGAACGGCAAGCAGGCAGTACTTCACGGAGACATGATCAGCTCACGACTTTGCTCCTTTGACTTTCTAAGAACAGTGCATTTAGGAGATTAAAATGTGTCAAACATGATATGTGAACCGCCCACATTTATGTGGTCATTGCTTTAATTCTGTGACTCTTACATACTTCACAAGAAACTTGCTTTGCAAGATGATGATGGAGCCTTTTTATCATGTGTTTGTTCTTGACAGCAGGCCACTCTCCGCAAAATGGCGTTGGATTGTGCTAAGGCAAGGAAACCTCTGAGCTTTCACCTGTCCGACTTAAGGGCATTTTTTGACCCGAAGGATTCATGAAGCTAAAGCGATGGGTTTGCATTTTAAAAAGCATGGGAACAACCTACTTTGATGGTTGATCATCATCTTCCCTCTTCCGGGGTATTTATCCCATTTTTCAACAAACCCATGAAGGCAATTCCGGGTTTCTTTCTTTTTCACCAGATTCTGGTGAAATCAGACAAGCCAGTCGGGCTATGTTCACAAGCTGAACCAGATGCTGGCGGAGCATGATCCTGCAGTTTGGGAAACCAAGTTGTGATTCTCCGTTGGAAATTGCGATTCTAAAGGCAGCACACTTCTCACTTGGCAGATTGAGGCTAGAATTCACTGTGGTGTGACGCTGACGGATTTGTATATAAACATTGGCAAATAGAGGAACCACGTGATTGTCTTTCAAAAAGTATCCAGGGGTAGCCAGAGTTTCTTTGCTGTGCCAAGTTACTACTGCTTCCCTCAAGCAATTCGCAGGCCGGCTTGTGACTTGCTGGCCATGCGACTAAGTAAAAGATGCCTTGCGAAAACTGAGAAGCTAAGAATGCCTCCATATATTATGTTTTCTGTCACAATGGCTCTCGATCGAGCACCTAGAGTAAACGGAGTTTGGGGAAGCCATACTGCCATACTGAGTCCATTTGCCAATTCCTTCCCTTTGGACCCCCTTTCTTCACCCTCTTCCATCTCTTCCATGTGTTGATTAGATTAGTCCACCCCTTCTGTGCCAGGTTGGGCCCCAGCTGACGCTTCTGGCCGCAGCCCAGGCGCAGTAGTCATTGAATTTTAAGGATACCTTCGCCTGGGATGAAAAATGTGGTGTAGGATGTTGGCTCAGGTTTTTTAAATGTTTCTTTTTCTCCGATTTCAGGTTGCTCTTCTTCTAGGTAGTGGGTTGGTTGGCCCCTTGCTATCAGCACTTGGCATTTCATGTTCATGGCCTCCCTGGCCTATGCCAGGCCAGTGGAAATCCGCAGGTGGTAGAGCTGGTGGAAGAGGTGAGATCAGTGAGATCTCAGTATAGCCAGCCAGATTGCACTGCTTTCTGATCTGTAGCTATGCGTGGTTATTCTGCAAGCGTCAATTAAAATGCAAACAAAAGTTTGGTTTATATATCAGGGACTCACTTGTGTTTTCCATTGTTTTTCCCACAATGACACAACAAGCCAACAGGCACCGCAATATCAGGGGCCCCTGACTGTCCTGATCATCCTGCCAGTGAAGGCAGCCACGAATTTGCTGTTCACCCAGTTGCGAATGCTTGGGAATGGCTGGGGAGAAGGTGGGGTGAAAAGGGAAGATGGGATCCTAATGTCAGGCACTGTGAGAAGCACTACGGTAACAGATGAAGAAAAGTCTTGTAAGGTCTTTAGGATGAGAACTTACATAGCAGCTAGAAGACCCTTCCACAAGATAGTGGCAGCTGTCCACTACATTGCAACCCACAAACCTTCAAGCGGTCAATCTGCTGCAGGCAGCTCTGATGGCAACTTTGTGAAACACTGCCTTCAAGCTGGAGCAGATCCGAGTCGCCCCCAGGGAAGTCATGGTTTGCGACCGCTGCAACACCTTTGTCAATTGTCAATGGATGGTTGCTTTGGCTCAAATCGGATTTGAGAGTGGCCAGTCAGCGCTATTTGTACTTCAAACCAAACAAAGCGTGTTGAAGGGAGTAGTTACGGAAGGAGTGTCCATAGTATACGCAGCTCAAAAGATACAGAAGTCAAGGAGGATCATTTCGATGTCCGGGAAGCTTGCGATCCACAATCATTTCAAGACTTCAAGTTTGGCCCGGGTACTGGACACAAAAAAAACCTGTCCTGATTGTCCAGGTGATCCTTTTTAACATGGTATATAGTATTATATAGTGGTCTGTAGTGGTACGGTTAAAAGAGATTTGCCTTCATGTACAGCAGCGATTTCAAGATCAAATCTATCGAATCAATGGTAATGGTATTCCTGTTTCCTGGTACAGCCTGGTACATCTGATATGTGTGCATATATATATATATATAAATATGTTATAATATATATTTACATACGTATATATTAAGAGATATAAAGTATATAGATACATTGTTTCCCGTCCAAAGCTTGTCCGAGGTTTGAGTGCCAGCCACACCACCAAGCTGGTACAACGTCGCGTAGCCCAAGCAGCCCATGAGCTGGCGCAAGCTGCACCGCTGGTGCTGATCTTGGCCTTCGACATGGAAGGAAGTGCCATGATTCCCCTGGAGGTAGCGGCAAAGAACGCGGATTTCGGGGCTGAACTGGTGCCAGTACCCTGGCCATAACTTGGAGGATTCACCAGTGGGGCCGGGTGGAAGCTTGGAGCATGGAAAAAAACGTCAAAGAGAATGAATCACGACCACTCTCCGTTTCTTCTAGAGTTTTGGGAAAGGAAGCAGCTTGACACCTGTTCTGCAGCAAAAGGTATTGCATACGTGTTGTTGATTTGTATCGGACGTCAGAAGCCAAATTGAACATCCCATCAACGGACAATTTTTCCCTGCGAAGGATCCACATTTAGATTCTCATGCAATTGAATCTGAAGACGTCAATGCTTCTCTTTGACTAAGCTTCAATGAGTGGTGACATCCTCGCTTATTGTTCATAGAGAGCAGAGAGTCACAGAAGACTCGTATGAGGTCGAAAACATTCGAACATTATTTATATTGCAGGGATACTTTTTGTCTGCAGAGCCACGTTGCACAGCACAAACAGGCCCCGTAGTGCAGCGGGGAGATCTAGACTATAGATGACTAAAGTCTGTGGCTCTTTATGTATATGAGCTACAGCCAAAATTTACGGCAATGGAAAGTAGTATTCGAGGCGTCTCTATTTTTTGGAAACTGAGCTGAGGCTTGGAAAACGATAATACACTCTTCAAAAACGATAACGTGTGCTTATGTTGATCTTGGTCATCAGTCATCCTGTGTCTTACGGCGCAAGTTATTCAATGTATTTCGTATGAGAGAAGCAAACGGCAAAACCTTTTTTTATCAATAGATGTGTGGTGATGGTTTGCGTTTGGCAGCCATTTTGGTTCTGACATCTGCTGATCTTCCATGTATCCAGTAGCAATGCATCAAGTTTTCCTCAAGACAACACTACGACTTTCCAAACAAAAGGGTTTCCCATAGATTTCTCCAGAACCATTGCTTTATTCGTGTATTTTTTCTGGATCCAACCAGGTGTTCCAAACGATAACCCAAACGATAACGAAACGATAACCAAAAAATCACAAAACCCCTATCGGCCAGACACTGGCCCATTTGCTCGCTGAAAGCCTGTTTTTCTTGGCGCGTGTTGCTCATCAAAGATGAGCAGGCAAGCGCAAGACATGGCAGGACTCAGATGTTTCCTCAATGAGTTGTTGCAACATGAGACAGAAGGGGGACAATTGACTGCAGAGGCACAAGAGGCTGTACCAGGGAAAGCACAGCCAGGCAAGAAGAGATGGAATGACCAGACGCAGCAGGCGATTACTGTGCCACAGCGAATGCAGAAGCACGAAGCACTATTGCCTGAAGGTGCTGATGCACGCTTTGGAAGTATCGATCTACAGAGTCTGATCGACCGCAAGAAAAAAACAATCGAGAAGAGAAAGCAAAGACTAGATCGAAAGAGAACTTTGCAAAATGCTAGTGAAAGTGGCAGCACTAGCGGCACCACGGACAGCAGCAGCGACACTTCGGACTCCAGCGACTGAAAAAAAAGATTGCGCTCCACGTGAAAGTGGGAGGAAGTATTTGATTCGTTGCTTTTCACCATCAGAATACCATGGAATATGCAAGGAATACGAACATGGTGGCCCAAAACCTGAAAAACGATAATACACTCTTCAAAAATTGATGACATTCAGCTAGATAATAAATATTGACCGTGGCCCATATAAGGTGGATTTTGTGTGTCCCTCCCCATCGAAAACAGGTCCAGTCCGATCAGTTGTAGCTTCATCTTCCGCATTTGATCATCCACTGAGGTCCTCTGTGGTGCCCTGGGGCGTCTCTTGCTGCAAAGCCCGGCCCTTGCTGCAGCTCCCTTGGTGCGGCAGGCTGTTTTGGAGGCCCAGCAGAGATTTCCGATGCATCCGGACGTGGAGAATTTGGCGACGTTGCTGCAGAAGGCACAGCCCTGTCTGGCTGGAGCCATGGAGTAGCTTGGGCTGAGATCGCACTGGGGGGAGCCAGAGAGATGTCCTGTTCCCACTGGGTTTTCACAAAGATAGGGGAACAATATGGAACAATTGAATAACACAATGGATAACGATACACTGATTGATAATGGGCACATTGTGAAAGTGTAGATTTTAGGATATTTTATGCTAAGCCGGGCCGACCCCTTCCATTTTTCCCAAGAGAACATCATTGGGCTGATCTACTGTATATCCAGCCGTGATTTCAAACCGGTGCTGGTATGTTCTTCGTTCATTGGTGGAGTTTGAACGCCTATTGGTATAATAACACGGTGACCGGTGATGTATCGATTTTGACTGGCGTTGGCCCTCCATGGTGGCAGTGTCAACACTCTTCTATGCTGCGGAATCGCGTTAGTGCTGATGGCAATTTGGCCTCACTGGTTTCATTCATGACCCACTCAATGCAGAGACTATTGACTATAGGCTCATAGGTGGATGAAGTAGATGTGACACGATGTGACCACAAATGACGACAAGTTCCCCAGGAACAGTGGGAAGCCCATTTGGGAGCCCAACTGCGCCTATGAAGCCTGGCAGCTGCGTCAGCGTCGCTTGGAGATTCTGGAGCCGCTGCTGTCGCAAGTGAACCAGGCGGATTCGGAGTGCCAAAAAGCTGAAGCGCTGCAAAAACTGGCAGAAACTTGGGCTGGGACCGCTGGGACCGCTGGGACCGCTGGGAACCTCTGAGGAATGAAACGCATGTGGTTACAAGATACAACATTATACAATATTGTACAACATTGTAAATATACACATATTTATGCATATACACGCAAATATTATATATATATACACACACACACTTTTTTGTGCTCAGAGCCACTCAGAGCATGTTTGGGTTTGATTTACGCTCATGGTGATTTGATTTTATGCTCACTTCAACTAAAAACACTCGTGTATGTCCTGACAGGTACATATAAGTATACAATATATGTTTATATATATATATATTTATATATTTATATATTCTAAAACCCGGTATTTAGGTTCGTTTCCCGTGTCTCAGATTTTTTGCTTCAAAGTGCACAAAATGGAAAAACGCCAGTACTGGTCCAATTATGCTCTTTCGTAAAAATACGCACAAAAAACATCAGCATTCTTGCAATTATGCAAATTGGAGGAGATGTATTCAAGTTGTTGACTTTGAAACCAATGATGCAGAAACCTGGTTGCTAAGGAAGTGGAAGCGTTGCTGGAAAAGAGGAGACGTCAACATTCAGCGCAAATCGCTGAGTTGCAGATGGCTCTTGACAAGGCGCAACGTGCTGCTGAAGAGGCTCCTCAGCTGTATGGCGTGGATCGATGTGCTGTGTGCAGTTACTACAGTACGGCGAGATACTGTACTGTCAAGATGTGCCTATGTCATGGTATATGTATGTCATTGTATGTCATGGTATGTCAGTATGTCTCAACTTTGTGAACTATGGATGACTATGGTTATATCGTTCCTGCAGAAGTCCGAAATCACATGCATTATGCTAAAACCTATGCACCTAAACTTCGACATATTTGCTGGTCAAGGCTATCCAAACTGTAAGAAGATCCTTTGAAACCAAACTTGGCCGCATGAGTAGAAAATATGGCAGCCAAAGCAAACCTCGAAGGTGCCTTGCAAGATCTTGCATTTAAATGCATTTAAATTGAGTATAGTGATTCATGATACCGATGTCACTTGATGAGGGTATGGACCAAAATGGTAGACCCCTGGAGCCCACTTGTGTGGAGAACCATCGCATCGTGACCCACATGCAAGGCGAGTGCTCGCGCCAATGAAGCCGTGCGCTCCAACCAAAGCGCGATGAAAGCCACGGCCCAGGGTTCTGCATCCCGAGGAGCGGAGACTTTGCTTAGTACTAAACAGCTGTAATTCTGTGGGTCCATTGGTGCAACCCGTTTTTTTAAATCATATGTCCGTCATACCGATATGATACCAGTAGTACCGCACAAGGCGGTGGCGGAAGTTTCAAAAATAGAACATCTATAGGAGAGATGAGTTGTGGTGATTCATGGATGGCAGAGTGAACTGATCGACCGAAAGGTGGTTGACACTCTGAGTCTCTCTTCTCTCTCCCTCTCTATATCCATCTATGCCTCTATCTGTCTAACTGTCTATCTATCTGTCGGATTTGTCGATCTGTCTATCTATCTATCCATATATCTTTTTGTTTGTCTATTTGTCTATTTGTCTATCTATCTATCTGTCTGTCTGTCTGTCTGTCTATCTATCTATCTGTCTATCTGTCTATCTGTCTATCTGTCTATCTGTCTATCTGTCTCTCTGTCTCTCTGTCTATCTGTCTATCTGTCTATCTGTCTATCTGTCTATCTGTCTATCTGTCTATCTGTCTATCTGTCAATCTGTCTAGCTGTCTAGCTGTCTAGCTGTCTAGCTGTCTAGCTGTCTATCTGTCTATCTGTCTATCTGTCTATCTATCTATCTATCTATCTATCTACCTATAGATCGATCTATCTATCTACCTACCAATCTATCTATCTATCTCTATCTATCTCTATCTATCTATCTACCTATCTATCTATCTATCTATAGATCGATCGATCTATCTATCTACCTATCTGTCTGTCTATCTATCTATCTATCCATCTATCTATCTATCTATCTATCTATCTATCTCTATCTATCTACTGTATATTTACTGTATATCTATCTATCTCTATCTATCTATCTATCTATCTATTTATCTATCTCTATCTATCTATCTATCAATCAATCTATCTCTATCTATCTATCTATCTCTATCTATCTATCTATCAATCAATCTATCTCTATCTATCTATCTATCTATCTCTATCTATCTCTATCTATCTCGATCTATCTCGATCTATCTCGATCTATCTCTTTCTATCTCTATCTATCTCTATCTATCTCTATCTATCTACCTACCTACCTATCTATCTATCTATCTATCTATCTTTATCTATCTTTATCTATCTATATCTTTCTATCTCTATCTATCTCTATCTATCTCTATCTATCTCAATCTATCTCTCTATCTATCTCTATCTATCTCTATATCTATCTCTATATCTATCTCTATCGATCTCTATCGATCTCTATCGATCTCTATCGATCTCTATCGATCTCTATCGATCTCTATCGATCTCTATCGATCTCTATCTACCTACCTACCTACCTATCTATCTATCTATCAATCAATCTATCTATCAATCTATCTATCTCTATCTATCTATCTATCAATCAATCTATCTCTATCTATCTATCTATCTCTATCTATCTATCTATCAATCAATCTATCTCTATCTATCTATCTATCTATCTAATATATATATATATCTGAAAGGATGCAATTATCCGAGGCTTCCTTTCAAAGAGGAAGTTGACAGCTCCAAAGAGAAGAAATTCTACTAGATTTCCTCAATTTTTGCCATTGACAATGTCAAAAGAATGTCAAAAACGAAGCAATTTCTGCGAGTGCAGAGCTGACGGCCTCGTGCTAATGTGTTTTGCGGTTTTTACCACTCCATCTCTCCAAAGTACTGCGCGCGCCACGAAAAAGTTACGCCAGGTCATACGAAGTGCTGCACCTGTCACGCAAAATCATCTTAGTAAACCTGAAGATGTGATAGTCCTAAATGCAACCCCTCTCCGGAAATCAGCGACCTGACCTCTAACATGTTTGCTGGATATGTTTCTTGTACTGCGCCTGCTACATGAAATGCATCCTGGCACACCCTCTTCCGAACCCGAGGTGTTTTTGACATTTTGACGTCAAAATGTGTTTCCCGCCATGGCTGCGCGCACTTTTTCCACTTGACTTCTACACTTCCTTCTACTATTATGTGACAGCTTCACAGCACACCATGGAAACACTGCAATTTCCATTTGACTTCTGCAAACGTCATACAATTCGAATGGGAGGTATGATTGCTGTTGAAACTCATAGTCACGTGATTCCCACCTATCACACTTACATCACACTTACTGTACATGCTTCAAACTGCACTTATTGCATTTTACTATTAGACCTTTTCGCTTGTCGAAACATTGACTTTTGTTCCGAACTGTTCCGATTCTAGATGTGAGACACAAGGCGTTTCCGGTGATCTCCCAAGGATGGCACCTCCGCCTCAAGTCTTGATTCACTGGATGCCATTCCGGACGGCAGCACTTCTCCCACGGAGTTGTTGCAAAGGATCCGACAGCAACGAGGAGCAGGGCATCCTGGGGATATGATAGTCAAATATACATTGTAATGAATTGTAATGAAAAGAATTTTATATGCAGATAGAATACACATTTTCAAAAATATTGTATATATATATGATATTGTACAACATATCACGAAGCCATCTAGAATTTCCAATCGCTTGAAATTTCAAACTTTACTACCCCCCCCGGCTGGCTAGTTCACAAGCAGTTTGGCCGTGGCTCGATCCCACCAGGGGACACTGTCGGCATGTTGCCACCGGCAGCAAATTCGGCAGCATCCGCATCCTCAGCATCATTGCGTATTCATGCCAAATTCCCTGCCAAGCTAGCTTTCATCCACATGTATATATATATATACATATATATATATATGTTTGTTCCAGGTTCTGGGTCCCCCCTCCCCCCCACCCATGGTCATGGCACCCCTCTCCCCCGTGGCATGGGAGGTATGAGGGTATGGTACCCCTTCCCCCTGTGGTGTGGGGTGGGTGCGTGGGGAACTTTGAATATGAAGTAGAAGGAATAAGCGATAAGTTGTGGATGTCTGCGCCGGATGAGTAGTAACTAGGTGACCTATATATATATATGTGTGTATTTACAATAGCTATAGATAGATAAACTATAGGTAGTATGTACGTGTTTTATATGTAGTACACATGTTATGTGTATATTGTATTTTACATAATATAAATGCATGATTGTAGAAGTACACATGAGACATATGTATGTGTGTATATATATATATATGTATATATATTTGATACAAAAGGTATATTTGTAGCCTGGAGATGGTTGTTATATATTTTTTAGTTCGTACAATATAAGTATGATGGAATGGGTAGTGTATGTAGTTGGACACCGACTGCTGCACGGCCGTGGCAGGAAGTGTTTTTTTTTGCTTTTTGAACGCATTTGAAGGGTTAGGGTGGGGTGGGGCATGTTAACGTTCCTTGTAAGTGGCACACATGTTGGATGCTATGCAGCTGAAGGGTTGTGGTGGGGTGGGGCATGTTAACGTTCCTTGTACGTTGCACACATGTTGGATGCTACGCAACTGAAGGGTTGGGGTGGGGTGGGGCATGTTAACGTTCCTTGTAAGTGGCACACATGTTGGATGCTATGCAGCTGAAGGGTTGGGGTGGGGTGGGGCATGTTAACGTTCCTTGTACGTTGCACACGATGTTGGATGCTACGCAAACTGAAGGGTTGGGGTGGGGGTGGGGCATGTTAACGTTCCTTGTACGTTGCACACATGTGGATGCTACGCAGCTGAAGGGTTAGGGTGGGGTGGGGCATGTTAACGTTCCTTGTAAGTGGCACACATGTTGGATGCTACGCAGCTGAAGGGTTGTGGTGGGGTGGGGCATGTTAACGTTCCTTGTACGTTGCACACATGTTGGATGCTACGCAACTGAAGGGTTGGGGTGGGGTGGGGCATGTTAACGTTCCTTGTAAGTGGCACACATGTTGGATGCTATGCAGCTGAAGGGTTGTGGTGGGGTGGGGCATGTTAACGTTCCTTGTACGTTGCACACATGTTGGATGCTACGCAACTGAAGGGTTGGGGTGGGGCATGTTAACGTTCCTTGTAAGTGGCACACATGTTGGATGCTATGCAGCTGAAGGGTTGTGGTGGGGTGGGGCATGTTAACGTTCCTTGTACGTTGCACACATGTTGGATGCTACGTTACTGAAGGGTTGGGGTGGGGTGGGGCATGTTAACGTTCCTTGTAAGTGGCACACATGTTGGATGCTACGTTACTGAAGGGTTGGGGTGGGGTGGGGCATGTTAACGTTCCTTGTAAGTGGCACACATGTTGGATGCTACGCAGCTGAAGGGTTGTGGTGGGGTGGGGCATGTTAACGTTCCTTGTACGTTGCACACATGTTGGATGCTACGCAACTGAAGGATTGGGGTGGGGTGGGGCATGTTAACGTTCCTTGTACGTTGCACACATGTTGGATGCTGTGCAACTGAAGGATTGGGGTGGGGTGGGGCATGTTAACGTTCCTTGTACGTTGCACACATGTTGGATGCTACGCAACTGAAGGGTTGGGGTGGGGTGGGGCATGTTAACGTTCCTGCAAGAACTAGTGCTAAGTTCTTGCAAGAACTGTCGCGTGTGTTCGCGGAGCGTGGACGCAACTGAAGGAAGAAACTGACGCTGCAGCCGCTGACGATCTATATGATCCTGAGGATGCTAGTGACGATGCTAAAGATGATGATGCTGTAATGATGATGATGATGATGACGATGACGATGACGATGACAATGACAATGATGATGATGATGATGATGATGTAATGATGTAATGATGATGATGTAATGATGATCATGATGATGATGCTCATTATGATGATGACAGTGCAAACATGTGCAAACAAAACAGGTAGTTTTCTGAAACGACGATGATGCATTTTCACATGCTGGATGTGCAAAATCATTGTTTCGCTATAGCGGCGTGCTTATTTTCTATTCACATCATGGACATATTTTTTCCAGGCCGCGAAACAGTCGTAAACCATGTAGTTGCCTCCTCCCCCTGTGGTGGGAGGTTGGGGTCTGGCGGTTTTCGACGTTGCATATACTCTAGGGTAAAAGTAGATGGCTCAGAATCTTGAGTTGCGCCATCTATGTCAAAAAAAATGGGGGATAGATGGCTCAACTCCCTTTAAAACAGGGCAGTTGAGCCATCTATGTCCCTAAAAATGACATATTTTTTGCAATCTTCTGCGCTGGTTTCTACCCATTTTTTTTTCTCAACATCATGCTGCTTTTTTGGGACATAGATGGCGCAACTCCCGGGGTTGCGCCATCTATGTGGGCATTCCCAGCCTGATTTTGGCGAAATGACGGAAGTTGTTTTGAGCCAGCAAAGGCCGAGACGCTTTAAAACCCAACTTTAACAAGTGACCTGAGGAACCGTTTTTGCCGTCAAGAAACGGTTCCTCAGGTCACTTGTTAAAATTTGGTTTTAAAGCGTCTCGACCTTTGCTGGCAAAATGACGGAAGTTGCGCCATCTATGTCCCAAAAAGGGACAACTCTGATGTCTTTCCTGGTGGTTTTGCCTCCTGTCTGGGGACAACTCTGATGTCTTTCCTGGTGGTTTTGCCTTCTGCCTGGGGATAACTCTGATCGATGTGGCATATTTTGGTTAGGTTGGTTGATGGATGTCGGGAGATATGAGGGAGTTGCGCCATCTATGTGGGCATTCCCAGCCTGATTTTGGCGAATGAGTGGGAGTTGCGCCATCTATGCCCAAAAAGGCAGCTTGATGTTGAGAAAAAAAATGGGGGGAAACCAGCGCAGTGCCAATTTTCCACTTGGGTTCGCCCCGGAAAACGGACCCCACCAAGTGTCAAGTTTCCTTTGGCAAACTCAGGAAAAAGCCACTTTTCGGGGGACTTGGTGGGGCCCGTTTTCCAGGGCCAAGCAAAGTGGCAAATTGCCAGAGCGTAGAAGATTGCCAAAAATAGGTCATTTTCAGGGACATAGATGACGCAACTCCCACTCATTCGCCAAAATCAGGCTGGGAATGTCACATAGATGGCGCAACTCCCTCATATCTCCCGACATCCATCAACCAACCTAACCAAAATATGCTACATCGATCAGAGTTATCCCAAGGCAGAAGGCAAAACCACCAGGAAAGACATCAGAGCTGTCCCAAGACAGGAGGCAAAACCACCAGGAAAGACATCAGAGCTATCCCAAGACAGGAAGCAAAACCACCAGGAAAGACATCAGAGTTGTCCTTTTTGGGACATAGATGGCGCAACTGCCTCCTGTCTTGGGAAAACTCTGATCGATGTGGCATATTTTGGTTAGGTTGGTTGATGGATGTCGGGAGATATGAGGGAGTTGCGCCATCTATGTGGGCATTCCCAGCCTGATTTTGGCGAACGAGTTGGAGTTGCGCCATCTATGTCCCAAAAAGGCAGCTTGATGTTGAGAAAAAAATGGGGGGAAACCAGCGCAGTGCCAATTTTCCACTTGGGTTCGCCCCGGAAAACGGACCCCACCAAGTGTCAAGTTTCCTTTGGCAAACTCAGGAAAAAGCCACTTTTCGGGGGACTTGGTGGGGCCCGTTTTCCAGGGCCAAGCAAAGTGGCAAATTGCCAGAGCGTAGAAGATTGCCAAAAATAGGTCATTTTCAGGGACATAGATGACGCAACTCCCACTCATTCGCCAAAATCAGGCTGGGAATGTCACATAGATGGCGCAACTCCCTCATATCTCCCGACATCCATCAACCAACCTAACCAAAATATGCTACATCGATCAGAGTTATCCCAAGGACTCTGATCGATGTGGCATATTTTGGTTAGGTTGGTTTATTGATGTCGGGAGATATGAGGGAGTTGCGCCATCTATGTGACATTCCCAGCCTGATTTTGGCGAATGAGTGGGAGTTGCGCCATCTATGTCCCAAAAAGGCAGCTTGATGTTGAGAAAAAACATGGGGAGAAACCAGTGCAGAAGATTGAAAAAAATATGTCATTTTTAGGGACATAGATGGCGCAACTCCCACTCATTCGCCAAAATCAGGCTGCAAATGCCCACATAGATGGCGCAACTCCCTCATATCTCCCGACATCCATCAACCAACCCAACCAAAATATGCCACATCAAAATATGTTGAAAGATGAGATTTCTATCATTTCTATCCATAAAATTCTGTCCACAATGAGTTTTCAAACATTCAGTGGTTCATTTTCAAGGTATTGCAATGAATTTGTTCGAAGATTTGACTGCGATTTAAGGGACATAGATGGCGCAACTCATTTTTGAACCCATCGAAAATAATTTTCTGGCGTTTGAATGGGATTTAAGGGACATGGATGGCGCAACTCATCTTCAAGGTGTGGCAATGAATTTTTAAAAGTGTTTTTCCAATATATGTTTGTCAAAATATGTTGAACAATGAAATTTACATCCATCCATTCTGTCCACAATCAGTTTTAAAACCTTCAGTGGTTCATTTTTAAGGCGTGGCACTGAAATTTTGAAAGATTTGTATACGATTTAAGGGACGTAGATGGCGCAATTCATTTTTGAATTCACCGAAAAAATGATTCTGGCGTTTGAATGGGATTTAAGGGACATAGATGGCGCAACTCATTTTATACAATACAAATTCGTGCAATTTCACCGTATATACAAGCAAAAATGATAGGAAATGTAGTAAATTTAGTTAACAATACCCTTATATCCATCTACTGGAGTGGCAGTTGCGCCATCTACCTTTTCATTTTAAAGTAGGGCGATTTTTTCTTCAATTGGCGGACCTCGTTTTATGTTCCAGCTAAAATAGCGCCGTTTTCTTTCTCAGCGCGCGGTGCCATCTTATGGGTATTTTGGTTTCTGAGTTGAGCCATCTACTTTTACCCCAGTATAAGTATAGATTATAGATTATCGTGTATATGTGTATAACATATGTATTTATAATTTGCTACGCTACAAGTGGTATATAGGTTATCCATATATATATATATATATATACAATATAATGTATGGATATAACACAGGGAATATACCAATCAGAGGCAACTAATGAGCCGTATGTAGATACGCGATGGCTTGGCCTGTATATAGGTATATCAGGTAGAAAGAAACATATAGATGCTATAAACGGCACGTATGTCGTATGTAAGTAGCATATGGTTTTCAAATGCTGCAAATAGGCTGCAAGTCGGAGATTTGGGCTCTGAAATGCTGCAAATTGCAAGCAAATCGGAGGCCGTGACTCTGAAATGTTGCAAATAACATGCCAATGGTGGATTTTGGGAGGACGGCGGGGGTACCATACCATTGGGGGTGCATGGGGGGGGCTACCGAACCAGAACCCGGGTACATATATGACCATTTGTCAAAAATAGTTGTTTAGAAGTTTAGTATTGGTTGTTGATAATTCATCTGGGTCTACTGTTTTTCCCTCTTCGTTATGAGGCGGAACGCAACTAAATTCAGCAATTCTGCAAGGCAGCGCTAGCAAACCCGCTAGGTTTGCGCTAGCTTTGATTGACAGCCATGGCCTCCATGTCGTGAATGTCTTGCCAGCTTTTCTTACAAGTCTGTCAGTTTCCACATATACCCAAATTTCCGATTTTTTTACGTATTTTACGCGCTAGATCGCCGCTAGAAACGCGCTAGCGAAAATTGCAAATACATGCCCCGGTCCACCCGCAGCCCATTCAGAGGCACAGCCATGTTCACGCTTTGGTAGCTTACAGTAAGGAAACAGCGTTGATCAGGAGGCATGTCAAGAAGCATATTGCATTCAGAGAGGCACAAAAAACAGAGACACACAGTTCAGGAGATAGTACCAGCGACAGCGAATGAAAACCGACGTGCGTTAGCCGATTCCTGTGGTTTTAGAAAGATTTCCAAAGGTAACGAAGAATTTCCACGTTTTCACCTCATCAAGGTAGGTCATGTTTTTTAAAGGCAAACATGAGGCGGCACGCATGGAATTGCGATTTATCAACAAAACCGGGAACAGACATTTTGACAAACGGTCATATATATATATATATATAATTCTATTTGATTATTGATACTTATATATATATATAATATATGTATATATATCTATATACATATTTGTGATGTTCTTTACACATATCTTTGAAGCATGTAGGCAACATTTTTTTTGATATTTTTGCCAAACGGGCACAGTCTGCCAAGATGTTGAGAACAAAATACATACTGGAAGAGCAACTGGATACAAAACGTGTCTATCAATACCCATGCAGCCTATGCACAAATACATTTAGGTGGCCCAAACAAGCGAAACAGGTCCAACATCAGAGCAAAACAACAGAACCAATGAAATATCCCAAGTCCCTACCTTTGCAGGGTCCATCACCACGCTAAAACATGACTAAATATGATCATGATATCATGATCCACATTTTTTTCTTGCCGGTTTAGCACCCTTGACTGGAGCTGGGCGAGGGGTTCCCGAAGGACTGGATATCGACTATAGCGGACTGCCCAAATCTGTGGAGCAGACTCTCAGCCGCCGACAGTTTTGGGACTTATTCCTGACTCGTTGACCTATCTACTGTGGCACTTCGGATCCCTGTTTCACGTGGAAGATGCGTGTTTGATGATGCCTAGTTGCACGTTCTGATTTGTTTGACGACCAGGAGTTTGATTGTAATTACACTTACAACATGTTGAAATATTTAATGATTTTACTTCGCGTTGACAAGGAGCGCTTTGGCCATGCAGCGCAGCATTGGTGCAGCAGTAGAGCGATTGGCGGTGGATTTGTATGCCTCGAGGTGGGATGGGACGCCTCCTGGTGGGATGGGACGCCTCCTAGCTGTGTCCGTTGTGTCCATTAACGTTCAAAGAGAACACCGGCATTCACTGGAGTTTGCCCGCGTTCGGCAGGGGGCATTTCCTGCTAGAACTCATTCAGAATCTTGGCAAAAACAGCACCGACGTGTGATGGTTGTGTTATGTTGTTCAGATTCCCAGTTTTTCAAGTCCGAAGCTAGTGGACCTGGGTTTCATCTCACTGTCTATTAATCTTTATGGACGTGCCCAGGAATGCTGATGACAATCGCTACACACCTGAAGATGACCCCCAGTCCTGCAGCCCAAGACATTCATTCCTGTGTTGAAATTGATGACCTGTGACAGAACCAGTGCATGAAGCACGGTTTTCGCAGTGCTTTTGTGGCAGCTGTTTGTTTTTTAATCAGTACTGCTGTGCCAGTGGCCGTCATGAGTGTTTCTTGTTCTCAAGCACCTGGCAACACAGCCAGATTCAAAGGAGGTCTTGCCTTCCCGGCAACGGCCAACGTTGGTTGAGGTTATCGCTGCATTTGGATCGCGCAGAGGAGCTGGGTGGAATGTGGGATATGGGGTCAGTGGAAAGGTCAATCGAAATGCGATGGCACCTGCAGGCCAGACCTAAGAGTTGAAAGTCGTTTGGTGGGAAGAGTATAGCAGATGAGTCAGATCCTGGGCCAATAACGTATCAAAGAATGACTTTCGAAATTGTTCAACACTTATGGTCAAAGAGTTGGACACGTGTGAGGATTGAAATTAGCACGGCCCCCATCGATCGCCATCGTGGCCCAAGCTGGATCTGTGTTCCTGACCAGCTATCGCTTTGTTCGCACCATGCCAGCGAAGTTTGCGAAGAAGCTCAGCGTGAGCACTTCAAAGGATTTGCTGGACTCGCCTGAAGGGGTAACGCCCACACCCAAGGAGAAGCGGGTGAGCAGTACCACACCAACGCCACCCAAAAGAAAGCAAACAAGTGAGAAGAGAAAGACAGAGGAGGGGAAAACTGAAGGAGATAGTTCTTCCCAGAAAAAGCGAAAGAAAGCCAAGGAAGGGCCATACACCTGTTCCCTGGCTGCAGGCACCTGATTAATTCATATTAATGCTTTTCTTCTATCTTGAATCTGTACTACAAACTTATGCTGGTGCATCCACCAGCAAAACCTTATTGACTAGAATACATTACACATCCCATGAGTATTTTCACAACATCGCCTTGAATTCCCTTGAAATATTTGATGCGAAATGGTCACCTGAGGTTTCAAGGAGCAAGGCTCCATCCCTGAACCTGAACTTCGTCGTCGCGCGGCCTTCAAAGGGAAGACGCTACAGCTGATGGCCTGGAACGTCGGTGGCCTGCGCGCCTTTTTGAAGAGCCGGATCGCTGATTTGCAGCAGGCGGTGAAGCTGGGTGCCCCAGATGTGTTTGGCATCATGGAGCACAAGCTGACGGACAGCCAGCTAGCTTTGGAATTTGCTGGGAAGAATGTAGAACTCTGATGCCGGACCCTACATCATTTATAATGTACCAGTAGCAGATAGTAGCAGTGGAATTATCCAAAAACGTGCAGCCTTCAGCCTTCCTATTACTGATCAGACCACAAAAATGGTCGCCCCCTGCAGGAGGGAACCGCAGATACAGATGCTGCTCTCAAAGAGTTGTCGACTGCTTTGCCAGATTATGAAGTGGCCTGTGTGAACTACTCCACGGCGAAGAAGGGCTATTCTGGAGCATTAGTCATGCTTCACAAAGACTGCCCCAAACCCATTCATGTGTCGGCAGAAGACCTGCCGAGTGCCAAAGATGAAGGGCGGATGGTGATGTTGGAATTCAAAGCTTTGTATGTGATTCTGCCCCTTGCCAGCGGTTGACGCAATCATCTTTAGTAAGATTTGTCTGCAGGTAAAGGTCTGGCAGGTCTTGTTTTGATGTTTCTTGTTCCCGAAAACCATGCTACAGTAACCGGCCCTGGCCTGTGACCTGTGATCGTTAGGTGCTATGTGCCGAACTCCGGTGATGGCTTGAAGAGATTGAAGGAACGTATTGAAAAATGGGATGTACAACTGCGAAAACGCTTACAGACCTTAGCAGCAAAAAAACATGTGCTTCTCATGGGCGACCTCAATGTGGCACACCAAGACAAGGATTCTTGGTTTGACACTGCTGAAGCTGTTGACAGGAGTAGTGCATGGGGCTGAGGAGATCTGCGCTTCAGGTAGCTATGTGTATGTAGTTGTTTTTGTTGCGTACTGAAAAGGTGCGTTTTTATTCACCATTTTCTAAAATCGGACTAAGTGAATAGCACAGTGAGCTCATCAATGTTTTGAACGATACATATTTGTGCTGTCGAATTGCGCTTGTTCAAGGATGTCCACATCTTGAAAGAAATGGAGAAATAATGCAAACAAAAATGCAAAAAATGAAAGTCTGGGAGAGGCACAAATTACAAGTGCATGCCCAAAAAAAAACACTTGAAACATGCAATTCTGCAAATAACAAAAAAATAGAGAAGCATGCAAAAAAATGCAAATCAGACCAGGGACCAACTGGACAAACATGAGTTCGGAAAAAATATACGAAAGCAAAAAAATAGCAAAGCCGAAAAAATGCAAATCAGACCAGACAAACATGATTTTGGAAAAACAAATGCAAAAACCTAGGTTTAAAATTAAAATGCAGGAAAAATGCGAACTGCACTTTTGCGATTGCATTTTGTTTGCATTTTTTTGCATGGTGTTTTTGCACTCGTTTTTTTTTTTGTATTTTTGATTTGGTGCATGTTTTTTTGTCATTTTTTCAAGATTGCAGTTTTCTAGAAGAATCCCACAAGGCGCCAACACAAATATAATATTATATAATATCAATATATATATATATTATATATTATATATATATGTCAATGGTTTCTCAATCTAGAAGGCTTTGTCTCCTACCCCCCCCTTTGCATCTCCAACACAACCAAGGACATATGGAACTTGGAAGCACCGCATGTCCCCAAGAGTGCTGGCACCACAGCGGAAGAGCGTGAATCCTTTGGCAAACTCCTGGACAGCGGCTTCAAGGACCAAGCGGTGGAGCTGGGTGGCTGAAAATACAAGACATGTTACAATATGTTGCAAGGATGCAACAAAAATGATCATTTACTGATGACGACTATTTATATAATTTAATGTATTTGTATTTATATTAATATACTGTAACTATTTATCATTATCTTTGATTATCATAGACTCAGTAGGTTGTAGCAGTCTGATGAATCCTGGTGTACATTCATTTTTTATCAGTTGGCAATGATTGCAACACTTGCTGTGCCATACGCCTGCTTGTGGAACATGTGGCACTCAGCATCACGTATATTTTTGCAGCATCTCACGGTGAGGATAGCTTCAGCTTGCGCCACCCTGAGGCCATTGGGGATATTGGATTTTTTTCGTTGGTGTTTAAGGTATCCTCTGTGGTTCTTGCTAAGTTGAACGGAACCAACAAGAGTTGATCCTGATTCATAAGCCTCATAATTTGACAAGTTGGCCATTGGACATGTGGCGGTAAGTCATCCTTTGTGGTCAGGCTATGGGTGCCTTCACCTATTGGAGCGTGCGCGCTGGGAATCGAAAGGTTAACAGAGGCCGGAGATTCGGAGATGTCCATTAAGTAGTTCACTTATGTTCACTTTTTTAGGGAGTTTTAAATTCTAGGGAATTCTAGGGAATTTGAGGAAATTTTAGTGATTTTTAGGGATGTTTAGGTAATTCTAGGGAATTTTAGAACACAAGATAGTCCCCCCTTACTTTCATACATTTCCAGTGATTTACAGAAACCACCTAGTCCCCCCTATATTTTATACATTTGATTTTGTCTCATCTTATCCAGGTTACTGCAGTAAATGACCTGGTCCCCCCTGTGTTTCATACATTTTAAGATTTTTAACTTGCAATGAATTAATATGAATTAATAGTTCCTAGTAGCAGCTCACCCCCCAGAGGAATACATTTTGGGGGTTTCCCAAGCATTGTTTTAGTGCTGGTGCAGAGCAGGTCCCCCCCATGTCTCATTCAATCAAAAATGATAATGTATAAACCTTCTTGACACCTCTTTTAAGCCTCTTTCCGTCGCCGGGCTTGACCACCTGCTCCCCCCCCCCGTTCCTACATTCGATGGAAATGTATGAAGGGGAGGGGGGGTAGATACACACGGAAGGCAGGGGGGTTTTAGAACATTTTAGGGAATTCTAGGGATTTTTAGGGAATTTTGGTGAATTCTGAGAATTCTAGGGAATTTTGGGGAATTTTGGGGAAGGGAATTCTAGGGAATTCTAAGGGATTTGAAGGAATTCTAGGGGATTCTAAGGAATTTTAGAGAATTTTTGGAAATTCTAAGGAATTCTAGAGAATTTAGGGAATTCTATGGAATTTTAGGGAAATTTAGGGAATTCTGGGGAATTGTAGGGAATTTTAGGTAATTTTAGGGAATTTTACGGATATTTAGGGATGTTTTAGGAAAGTTTAGAGAATTTTAGGGAATAAAGTTTAGGGATGTTTAGGGAATTTTAGGGATGTTTTCTTCTCGAACATTAGGCCGAAAACTCAATCTAACGACGTGGTGTTTGAAGCCTAATTTTAGGGATGTTTAGGGATGTTTAGGGTGTACTGTGGCAACTTTTTGAAAGAAAACCGGGGTCCCGAACATCAGGCCCACTAAAATACTATTGGATGCTTTGCTCAAATGGACCAAACTGGATAGAATTGCCAGGATTTGATGCAACACACCATGGACTTCCATGGAGATAAATATGGTCAATAGACACCAATAGAATCCAATAGAAATCATTGTGGATCACATTTTTTTGCTGCTGGTTTATTGATGTTTCTTGATGTTTATTGATGTTTCTTGATGTTTCTTGTTACGGGTTTCCTAAATCAGCCTTGATAGGCCTGCGCTTGGACTATGTCTTGGTGTCCGAGACCTTGGTCTCTGAGCAGGAGAGGCTGACTGCAGCAAAATGGTGATGATCATCCAATACATGTAGGATTTTCATCCAATAATATTCAATATACATTATCAATAATATCATAGAATATTATTTATAATGATAATGCAAAATTACAAAATATGATTGATTATGATTGATGTCCATCCAAAAGACTGGCGAAGTGAAACATTTACTCGGAATACCATATCCCATTTTGGCGAAAGGTGTCTCAGGAGAGCTTTAACCTGGAACTTCAGTGTTGACTGACTGGCAATCGCTTGGCTCCAGTGTGTTGGGATTTACAGATCAGATTTCGTTCAGAAATCCCCAGTGCTACTAGTGCTGCTAGGATGCAACTGGAATGCAATTGTGGGACGCGTTCCATCTGCCTTCGGTGGCAACTGGGGATCATTGTCCTGTTGGTGCAATCCTTACAGTGGCTTGGTGACCGGCAGAAGATTCAGCTTTGAAAAATCTAACCGTGCATATTGAATCATATTGATCATATTGATACATTTGATACTTTTGATACATATTGCACCATTGGTTGTGATCTCCTTCTACAGTACCTGTTTTGGTTGAAAACCATTGCGCCAAAGTAGGAAATGGAGGCCACACATTGTGACCAGGATATTGAAAGACTTTGAAATACGGAGAACCAATGCGTGATATGTTTGCATGTTCCGCTACTCACATGAGTCCTGCGGGTTTGTAGCGATTCTAGCGATTCCTCGGCTTTTAAGCGGTTCAACTTGCAGAATGTCAGGATGGACAAAATCAAACGTGCCACCAATTCTCACGCCACCAACATCCATGTCATGTTGCTTTGAGGTTTAAGCTACGATGTCATGGCGCTGAAAGAGACTTGATCTACGAAAAGCAACAGCATGAGCTCCGCATCCATGTGTTGGCGCCATGCAAAGCTTGGATGAAGCTGCACACTTTGTGCAACGATCTTAGGTTTCTCAACAAACTATACGGTAGATGCACTGAGACTGGTCCATTGTCCACTAATCATTTTTCCTAGCAAAATCGTAGCATCTACTGGTAGCTATCACAGTGGAAAAAGTAGCGAAACTATGTGCAACACTACAGAATCAAAAAGTGGCAGTGGTCAGTCGTCGTGGTGCAAATGTTTGTTCCTCATAATTTTGGACATCATCGATGGCACTTTTAGTGTCTTTGCTCGGTCAAGAGCACTGGCAAGACTCTTTGGTATTGCGTTAATGTGCTAGCCTCAAAGAAGGCTTCCTGGGTTGACAACCCAACAGCCAGGGGTTGGCTCTAGTCGGCCGATAGCTAGCAGTGTCCAAGCACTGCAGAACCAGCCAGTTGGGGGGCTGGAGGGGTTGGTGGCAGTGCTAAAGTAACCCAGTGACACTGTGACCGCAGTTTTCAAAACCGCCCGCTGAAAGTGAGGAGCTGATTCTATCGTTCACGGAGAGAGAGAGAGAGAGAGAGAGAGAGAGAGACAGAGAGAGACAGAGAAAGACAGAGAGAGACAGAGAGAGAGAGACAGAGAGAGAGACAGAGAGAGAGAGACGAGACACAGAGAGAGAGACAGAGAGAGAGACAGAGAGAGAGACAGAGAGAGAGACACAGAGAGAGAGAGACACAGAGAGAGAGACACAGAGAGAGAGACACAGAGAGAGAGACACAGAGAGAGAGACACAGAGAGAGAGAGAGAGACAGAGAGAGGGGGAGAGAGAGGGAGCAAGACAATCTATATGTATATAATTGATTTACATCAATCTAGCCAGTGATTTGGCCATTTGCAGTGACCTATATAATTCTTGCACGGATCAAAAAAACTACAGGATGGTTCTCTTTTCTTCGCATCTGTCAACAATGAGCCGTTTCCTCAGATGAATTTTCACAGAAGGGTCTTGGTCCGGCCAGCATGTGTTACGATGTGTGTTGTCAATCCATTGTGTTTCCAACGGTTCAGAAGCCAGACAGACTAATTATTGATTCTGGTTGAGCTCCTAAAGATCCAACAAGAAACAGAGACAGCCTACTCAATAATTGTCAATAAATGATATTATAAAACATCTAATGATAGATCCATCCCATCATATATCAGTTCCTTGGCACCGATGAAGTTGCCCAGGTTGGGCATGAACAGCAGAGATGTCGAAGCACTTTGTGACATCAACAGGTTGCTGCCTCAGTGTTTATCAAGATCACTGACTTAGATCCAGCTCCATTCTTGGGGCCAAAATGGGCTAAACCTTATTTGAAAATCACCACATCTAATTACTGTTTGCTGCAGGTCTACCAAACCAGCACAGGCCGGGAGTTTTACCTGGTCGGTCTCAGGCCTTTAGCATTGGAACAACACTTTGAAATGTCAGCCGCTCCTCTCATAGTAGCAGCACATTTAGGCCAGTGCATTTAGCACGAGGGACATGAACAGTTTTCCATCGCTCTGCGAGGAGGGCAAGATCGGCAAAAAGGGTGTTGGTGTAGAGCCCAGTTGAGTCAATATTTGATGCTGATTGTAGTATGTCATTGTCATTGTCATATAGTATATAGTTAATACGGTTGATAGTTCTGTGTTTCTGGGCTGAGCTGCTGCCAGTCAGAGCATGCGCAATTCCATGACCATCCATCAGTCAGCATGCCAAATGGTGGAGGAAGGGGATGGGTCCCTTTGATGCATTTGTTCATACCAAATGTAATTAAATCATATCATGTAGGACAGTTCGGAATCAAATTCACAACATTGTTAACAATCATGGTTATTCAAAAAAAAAGTATTCCCTTTGCACGGACTTTGGCAGCTTGTATTGGACACAGAGCGCATTTGGCAACAGCCAGATTCGCATGCCTCCAGGCTGGAAAGCTGTATTTGCAGTTAGTGACCAGCCAACGGTACGATTCTAAGTCCTGTTTTGTTGTCGTTGTGGTGGTCGTTGGCCTTGAGCGGCACTTTGGGTAGCGGTTCCATGGTGCCCGCATCACTCCACTTGCTTGTTCATGTTGGACTTAACACATTTGACACTTGGGCTCAGCCTCTGAAATCCCACTTTTCAATTCGTTCATCAGTTCATCATTCTGAATTCGTTGAGTTTTTGTTCTTTGGATCCAAATGCCTCAAACTTACAGACATCTCAGACACCCATAAGATTTACAAGACTGGCTGATGCTATCAGAGAACGGATGGTCCAATGACAAGCCATGGTGGAGGTTCTCTCTGGACCCTTCCGTTTTTCCTTCGACGTCAGACTCTCAAGAAGGGAGCTGGGTCTGGTTTCCTTTGTGGACATGGGCACTAGCAGCCTGGGACATGGTCAAGGCATGGCGGCTTCGATTGGACCATACCTTCCATTGATACATAGTCAGTCGGTTTGACTGCAGACTGATTCACATCCCCTGACTGTAGCTGCTGTAGCTTACCCAGCAATGCCTCCGAGTCCCTTTCTGGATTTCCATTCTAGGTACGTCGCCGTGGACGTCTTGGATATGTCACGCCAGATGAATTGAGCAAGGGAGCCTAGCCGTAGCCTAGATTTGGAACAGCTGTCAAGTTACGTTGCTGGTGCTACCAGTGACAATTTTGTCATACTCGTCGCATTTTCTCGCATGATCACTAGAAGAGCTTCTTTTTCAAGGTGAGTACTCGTACCGAGTACGGAGCGCAGGGTTGTTCTTATTTCCGCCGAAACTTTCATAACATGCTGGACAGAAGCCAGGTCTGGCCGACGTTCAAGCATTGCCAAAACTGTTGCAAGAGGCACCTGACCCCAGCTGGGAAACATGTATTACATCCATCATTGTCAATGCACTGTGAGAGTGCTTCACTTGGGATGGGTTTGGATGGTTGTATATGAATATATGAATATGGTTGAGGTGCCGCGATGGTGCCTATATATCAAGGCGCTCTGAGCGTCCTACATGCGTGGTTGTCAATGCACTGTGAGAGTGCTTCACTTGGGATGGGTTTGGATGGTTGTATAATGGTTGAGGTGCCGCGATGGTGCCTATATATCAAGGCGCTCTGAGCGTCCTACATGCGTGGTTGTCAATGCACTGTGAGAGTGCTTCACTTGGGATGCCGCGATGGTGCCTATATATCAAGGCGCTCTGAGCGTCCTACATGCGTGGTTGTCAATGCACTGTGAGAGTGCTTCACTTGGGATGGGTTTGGATGGTTGTATGTGAATATATTCATATGGTTGAGGTGCCGCGATGGTGCCTATATATCAAGGCGCTCTGAGCGTCCTACATGCGTGGTTGTCAATGCACTGTGAGAGTGCTTCACTTGGGATGGGTTTGGATGGTTGTATATGAATATATGAATATGGTTGAGGTGCCGCGATGGTGCCTATATATCAAGGCGCTCTGAGCGTCCTACATGCGTGGTTGTCAATGCACTGTGAGAGTGCTTCACTTGGGATGGGTTTTGATGGTTGTATCACATGGTTGAGGTGCCGCGATGGTGGGCGCTATGTGGTTGTCAATATGGTGGGTTTGGATGGTGAATGATATATGATATGGTTGAGGTGCCGCGATGGTGCCTATATATATATCAAGGCGCTCTGAGCGTCCTACATGCGTGGTTGTCAATGCACTGTGAGAGGCTTGCTTTTGGGATGGGTTTGGATGGTTGTATTGAATGCACTATGCTTTTGGGATGGGTTGGATGGTTGTATTGAATATATTCATATGGTTGAGGTGCCGCCGCGATGGTGCCTATATATCAAGGCGCTCTGAGCGTCCTACATGCGTGGTTGTCAATGCACTGTGAGAGTGCTTCACTTGGGATGGGTTTGGATGGTTGTATGTGAATATATTCATATGGTTGAGGTGCCGCGATGGTGCCTATATATCAAGGCGCTCTGAGCGTCCTACATGCGTGGTTGTCAATGCACTGTGAGAGTGCTTCACTTGGGATGGGTTTGGATGGTTGTATATGAATATATGAATATGGTTGAGGTGCCGCGATGGTGCCTATATATCAAGGCGCTCTGAGCGTCCTACATGCGTGGTTGTCAATGCACTGTGAGAGTGCTTCACTTGGGATGGGTTTGGATGGTTGTATGTGAATATATTCATATGGTTGAGGTGCCGCGATGGTGCCTATATATCAAGGCGCTCTGAGCGTCCTACATGCGTGGTTGTCAATGCACTGTGAGAGTGCTTCACTTGGGATGGGTTTGGATGGTTGTATATGAATATATGAATATGGTTGAGGTGCCGCGATGGTGCCTATATATCAAGGCGCTCTGAGCGTCCTACATGCGTGGTTGTCAATGCACTGTGAGAGTGCTTCACTTGGGATGGGTTTGGATGGTTGTATGTGAATATATTCATATGGCTGAGGTGCCGTGATGGTGCCGGTATAGTGTTGTTTGAAGGTGCCGTGATGACACCTTGATAACTAATGTCCTTGTGACTTTTGTCGCACTGCATTGGTGGGAGTGTGACCTACCAGAATTTACTTGTGCATTGGCGAACCTGGAGAGCTTCATACGCCCATAGTTCTTGAAATGTTGAAAAACTTGAATTGTGCACACAGTGCCAGCTGCCAGCACCTGGTTTGCTCAATGGTTCTTAATGTTTATCATTCTTTTCTTGCGGTGTTTTGAGTGCACCACCGGAATTGCATTTGCTTTGCTACTGGTATGGATGCGCCGGTAAAGGCCGGCTGCATCATTCCATGCTTGCAAATTTCGTTTGTGCGCGTATGTTTTTGCCTCGAAAACCCACACGTTAAATTTAGGTTTTACACAATTTTGTCGGTCATGTCTGTGACGCCATTGCAAAGGGAAATGTCAATCTGTTGGGACTTCAATTGGTTTCGGCAATGGAGGCAAGCGCTAACACAGTGCGGCCTGTGAAGACCTCAGGAATGCCGTATGCAGTTGTCCGGAATATTCGATCAAATATTCCAGCGTCAAAAATAATCATAATTTCAAGAAAACTATACTTGTAGAAATGGAATGGAATGCAATTAAATAGTATCTATAGTTTGTTTACATCCTTTGTCTCAGAAGGTTTTTGCCCATGGATCAGAAGGACAAGTCATTGAAGTCCTTGGACCAAATCAAACTCACTTTAAGGCGACAGTACTATATCTTCCACTTCGAGGGGGTCCTCCAACTGAAGATGGACTGTCTTGAGTTGAAACATTGTTGGCATCGATCAGAGAACTTAGTTTGTTTCTTGTTGCCGGGGAGCATTTTTCGAATATTCCTTTTTGGGTTCCATTTCACAGTTCAATAAGTACTTGTATGGATCATGGTGCCTTGATTTGTCCCAATCAGAAAGCAACTTAATAGCAGAATTTCACGTAATGGTTTGTGTAGGAACTAATGTTGTCGAACGAACGTGGCAATTTGATGCAAACACTGTTGCAAAGTGCACCTCCTTGAGCGTTTGGACAGGATCCGCGTGTCATTCTGCCGGAGACGGAGGCTACACATTGCACTAAGATGCACTAAGTATATAATTATACAAATCCATTCCAATCCTTAATTAATCTCAGTTTGTTTTATTAGACACATTTCTCCTTCAGATGCTACTTGCTTGAAGACCTACAGGGGTTGCACGGATTTCTATCTCAACCACCAGGTGTGGGCGCTGCAGCGCTGATCCAGAGCTCCATGGAACGATTGTTGAGGTCAGTCCCGGGATGAAAAGGGGCGAAGGGATATGAAAGGGAGGTAGCACTTCCCAGACTTTTCAAACTAAAAGTTTTTTTTTCTCAGTTCAAAGTCATCTCATGTGGTATAGCATCACAGTGCAACATGGTAAACCATGGTAACACATCTATTCCCTTGAGCTGTATTAAAAACCCGGTAATACTCAGCTATGTATTCGTTGATCCTTGGCCCATAATTCGCTGCACCGCCGCACCTAATTCTGGCTTTAAACTGTTTTGAGGGTAGTCCATTTAGGTGGGGAACGACATCTGGAACGACATCTGAAACGACATCCAAATCATACATAGACATATATGAGTTACGGTCAGAATACCTGTAATTGATTTTAGTATATAGAAAAGCATGGAAAACGATATGGCCCCCATGTGATGCTTCACGTCCTTTGCTGCCAGTGGTAGTCATGACCAACCAATGGGTTGTCGAAGAGCGCATGCGCATGAGTGGAAAGAACGTTGGCCAGATCTACAGTGCCTGGGCTGCATGTGTTCTGGAGCGAGTGCGAATCATACGGATGCATTATCTGAAGTTAGCTTAGGCTCATTGTGTCAGACAAATTGTTCTACCAAGGAGTTTGGCATTGTCCGCAGGGCAAGAAGTACTACAGCTTGAAATCGGCAAAGGATGCTGGCTATGAGCCTCGTAGCGATCCTTCGCCTAGTTCAGCCGGTGCCGGGCAGAAGCCTGAAGCAGAGGCCCGGCTACATGTTTGAGAAGGAACTCTCTGTTTTGTTTCTTGCTGGTCAGGGTTCTTGCTGGGCACAGACAGGAATTTTGGAACATTGACTCATAACAATTTCATAGTTACGATGGGGGTTATATTGTATGAGCCGGTAGCGTGTTTGCATTTCTGACCTGGGATGCGTGGTAGATATATCTATAGTATTTTATATAGTAAAGGGGCCTATACATAGTGTTACGACAGGTCACATTGCAAAAGCATTCTGTGCCGGTGGGTCGTCGATTGTGCATACAGGCTGCCGAGCTGAGTGAACAGCGTGGTGGCAGTGCTGAGCCGGTGACAGCACCTGTGGCTTCCGAAGAAGGGGCAAAAAAACGTAAGAGCGTTTTGTCCCAGGCCACGCCGCAGAAGCGGCCACGTCCTCCAGAGTCTAGCGCCCCCAAGGATGCAGAAATGGCAGCTGACATCACCCACATTCTGCTTCTGAAGCAGGAGTGGGCTGACCGCATCCTGTCGGGGGAGAAGAGTTTAGAGATTCGTTCTACCGGCACACGCAAGCGTGGCCGTATCGGCATTGCTGTCCAGAATCTACTTTTTGGCTGCGTTGATCTTACAGGGTCGATGGCGTTGACGCCGGAACAGCTGGCGGCGGAATTGCCTCGACATTTGTGTCCCTTGGATGAGATCACGTACAAGCAACCGCACGGCTGGTCGTTGGAGAAGCCGAGACTTTTCTCAAAGCCTATTCCGTTTGAACGGAAATTGGGGCAAGTGGTCTGGTGCAAGCATGAAGGTGAGCGGGCTGCTATCCCTGTGGAGAGTGGCAGTTCTGATCCGACTATGGAGAAGGTAGCCGAGCCCGTGGCAGCCGAGTCTCAAGTCCAAAGGCCTGCTTCCACAACAGCCTCATGTGATCGCACAAAGGACAAGGAAGATAGCACTGTTGATGGGCAGCCCATCGCGCAGCATGGTGGAAACGCTGTGGCCGCTGCCGATGCTGCTGCTGATGCCGCAAGAGACCCCATGCCTTTGCAGCATTCTAGTGATCCTTCTCATGACAGTGACACTGTGGGGAAAGTTGCAAAGCAGCTTTTGAAGGTCCATGCTACCAAGTTTCTGAAGTTGAAGAAGATAGCACCACTCTTCCTTGAACAGAGTAGAAAGACAGCTAGGGGATCTGTTCCAGACGTGGAGCAAACGTGTTCGCTGTGTGCCAGAGCACGCCATTCGTGCAAATGGGAGGTTCGAAAAGGAAAAGATGGGATTCGTGCAAAGGGCTCTTGCTGCTACAGCTGTGTTCGAGGAGCCGCAGTGTTGGGATGCTCACGTTCCGTTCCTGCCTTGAAAGAAGCTGGCCTTGTACAGGTCATCCGTGACATGTCAGCTTGCGTGGCTGCAACGCAGGTGCCTGATTTGTGTTTTTGTGACCGTCCAGCATGTACAGAGAAAATGAAAACTTGGAAGGGGGAAAGTCAGATGACTTGACTCAATATTCAGTAGCATGCCTTACGTGGTGGTTCACGGAGGCCTGCTTGACCGCATGTCAGCAATCGCTGCAAGGTGGGAAAAAAATTGTTTCAGCACCACATGCACAATCCAAAGGACCCACTATTCCTTGCTGCAAGCATGTGCTGATTTGAAAACCGCCAGAAGGGGACGTGCTCAGTCAGATTTCCGACTTTTTTCGCTTGTGTTTCCAGAGATGTGAATTGTGTATATCGCATACATATATATATATATTCATATCTATATATATATATATTTATTTATTTATAGTGAACGATGGTACATATAATCATATAAAGGATACAAAAGCTATATTTATGAAGCTCCGCTACGCCGACGACAGGGGTGGGTTGGGGTGACATCCCTATTTATAGGAAGCTGCACGCAGATGATGCTACAACTACGGTGGACAGCGATGAAGTTGATAATCATACCCCTTGGAAGTTGCACATGCAGATGATGCTACGCGACTGCATTCGTGGAGTGGGATGAGGTGACGTTCTCTTCGAGGTTGCGCATGCAGATGATGCTACGCGACTGTATTCGTGGAGTGGGATGAGGTGACGTTCTCTTCGAAGTTGCACACGCAGATGATGCTACGCTACCACAAACGCGGGTGTCACCCTGGCGGCATGTTTTTTCTATATTCATATATATATATACAATATACATGGTTTCACTATCTATATATGAGTATTGATATTGTTTTACTTTCAGGTATATATATATATATGGAAATCGATATCCTTGTATATATATATATATAGACATAGACATGACTCTATATACTTGTTTTCCATGTTCCATGGCAGATGGATTTGACATACAGAGGAAAGAAGCAAGAAGCAGAAGCTGCCTGCAGCGGGGAGGTGCTCAGGTAGAGGTGGCGGGGGGTAGCATTGAGTTGCGGGCTGCCCCCGCGGCCGCCAGAGAGATTGCCCAACAGTGAAGAATTGTCTTGAACTTCCCAGCTTGATTTGGAACTGCACTTTTACGGGTTAGATTTGAACATCAGGTTTGTTGTTTGTGCGACCGCTTGTCTCTGAGTGCTTAGATCGGTCACAGAGCAATATGTCAAATTTTTGAATCCCACCGGTGATCTGAACGACATCCGAAACGACATCTGAACGACATCTGAACGACATCCAAAGTCGTCCCAGGTGATCATAGACCCATTTGACCCGTTTTGGTTTTCTTTTCTCATTTGAATTTTGAGGCGCACAAAGAAAAGGCAAGAATACATGTAGCAAAGGTTTTAACGGCAGCCAATGTGTAACAATTCGCACATGCCTAATGCCTCCGCCATGGTGGAACGACTTTGAATGCGTTTTAGAGGAATATGTGAGTGACAATTGCCCTCCTGCAGACAGTTCCTTGCTGCGGACAGTAGGTGAGACAAGTTTTTCTAGTGGAGATGAGCCTCTGAGCAGTGGACAATTCCAGTCTTTGCGCAAAGCGCTTGCAAAGAGTATCCTAGATGCCTGCAGGGAGGAGGACTTGTTGGAGCCTTTTGCTCGAGATTGCTTGGGCGAACGCATGACATCAAAGTCTTTACGGAGTTGGAAGGAAAAAGCTGCGGTGGCTGTCTTTGACCGTTGCCCCAGAGAGTTGCAATTCAGAATGTTTCCTGCCACAGATGCCTTAGCTTCCAGGCGCTTGACTGTAGCCGCGAAGCAGCTTTTAGGCTATCCTCCAGGAGACGAAGGTAGTGAACCCATGCAAGCCGAAGAGCCTGCAACACCGACGGGGAAGGTATTAGATAAGACGCTATCAACTTCAGACTTGAGCACTCCCACACAAACTGCAGCCAAAGCACCCGCAGGAAGTGGCAGGAAACGAGAGCTGGTCAAGAACTTGCAGACGCTTATAGAAGGACATTGTGCTGATGATGCGGCTGTGCATACTGTGATGCATGCCCTCGAGAACCGGCTGCAAGCAAGGTTCCCTGGGCTCTCTTTTCACCACGTGCATCCAAATATACCTTCAGATGATGCGTCAGTTTTCGCCAGGTTAGGAGAGTTGCGCGAGAAAGTTCTTGACCGCCGCGATCGTTCCTTGACATTGCATGAAATGGATGCTGCTGTCTCGCAGGGAGGCGCAATTGTTCAAGAGTACTTGACAGCCAAAGGATATCACATTGGGGTCAAAGCAAGGAAACGCTTAAGGTTTGATGCTGATGATGCCCCTGTTTCCTGCGGTGGTCGCCCAAGTACGTTGCAGTGTGAGGACACGTTGCAATTAGCGCGGCAAACATTCCAAGCCTGGAAGCAAGGTTCTCATAGTGGAGAGGCATGACACAGGGTTTTCCAAAGTGAGCGGAAGACGTTCGGTTTCTTCCGACCGAGGCTATGTCGGCAGTATGTCCTTGCTTGCTGCGCCGCAGAACATTTATGACATTGAGCCAGATTTACAGAAGACTATGTGTGCAACAACGTGGAGGAAGCTCTTGCGCCAGAATTTTGGAGAGTATCGCGTAGGAGCACGACGAACGGATGTCTGTACCCATTGCAATACCTTTCATTCAAAAGTGGTGCCGGATTTCAAGAAGTTTTTGGAAAAAACCCGTAGTGAGCTTTGCGCTGTGCTGCCGTCCTATTTTGAAGGGTGGGACCACGAGAAAGAGAAAGAAGATGCCAGCAAAGGCGATTGGAGAGCAGTGGCCGTTGCCATGCATTGCTTTATCAGAAGGCATTTTGAAACTTTTGCTGCGAAGAGGGCTGCGCTCTCAGGAGCGGACAGGTTGCGGCTATACTCGGACATAGAAGCTCCGGCGCTGTTTGAATTGAAGCACCGTTTATCTCTTCTAGCTGCCTTCCAGTGGCATATGCTCTCGGCAAGACGGCAAGGCGAAGTCTTCGAGAGCTTGTTGAACACGCAGCATTCCACTCTTCCCTTGACCGATGTGCTCATTGCTTTTGATTGGCGGCAAAAATTAAAATTACCCATGGCTCCCATCGAGACTGGGCCTATGTGGCACAGCCAGCAGAAAGTCGCGCTGAGCTGCTGGGGTGGTGTCTGTGCGAAGCACACCGCGAACTCAACAGCTGCCTGTCCCCAGATTGAATTGATTTTCTTGCTTTTTGTAACAGATGTCATTGAACAGACAGCAGAGGCCTCGAACATTATGCTGCAGCGAGCATTAGATTGCCTAAACCTTCCGACGACTGGTAATTTACAAATTTGGAGCGACACAGGACCACATTTCCGAAGCGCAGAGAATCTCTACTACTATGCGCGTGCGCTGCCGGCTTCGCGAAAGCAAAACATTCTGATTCGATTTCTGGGAGAGCAACATGGCAAATCCATTTTGGATAAAATGTTTGCATGGACTGGCGTGCATTCTTCCGGGTGGCTCGGAAAATATGCCAAAAGAAAACCAATCTACGACCTGGATGGGATGGTTCGTGCTTTCGATGCGGGCGCGCAAGAGCAAGCCAAGAAAGATCCAGATGGGCCCCGATGGATCGTGCAAAAGGTTCTTTATCCTGAGAGGAAATCAACTGTGCGACATTTCTTATATGCAACTTCCTTGAAGATCACCAGGACATACGCGATAGATGCTGAGCCGCATCGAGGGCAAGCTAACGTCTCCCCGGCCTTTTTCAATCGGGTTTTTGCTGATTCTGCAGAGCGTGTGCGGCTCTCCGACTGGAAGGTGGAAACCTTGACAGAGGAAGAGCCAGATGTCTGGCGGAAAGCTTATTTTGATGGAACCAAGGACTGGGAGGAGGATCCGCCAGATTGGCGGGCTGACAATCACTTGAAGCGAGTTTTTGAGGCACAGAAGAACCGGCTACCTCCTCGAGAAATCTTGCCTGTTCGCACTTTCTCTGAGAAAATCCAAGCCAAGGAGCGCAGCCGCGCCCGCAACAAAAAAAGATTTCAACGTCGGATGGATCGATTGCAACGCTTGAGAAATGGAGGACTGGATGATGAGAACTCTGCCTCAGGGAGCAGCTCTTCAGATTCCGACAGCACAGACACAGAACAAAGTGATCATTGATGTGGAAAAAATAACAGAGCATGTCGTTTGCATTGCCAGCACTCAAAATCCATTCCTTTGATGGGCATTTCAAACGGCTGGAATGGAGGATTTGTACCCCGTTTAGGACCATATTTTTAGGTAATTATCCTTCACATAGCCTTATATAAACATATATATCGTAGATGTCTCCATTTTCTGAACACAATACAAAACAATCATTCATTGTTCTATTTCTCCGTATCTCAAAAGCATCCAAGATTCCGTCTGGCAATATTAATATGTAATCTGGAAATGTGGAGGTCCTATTGTAACATGAAGACCGCCGCATGGAATTACGATGATTTGTGGTTGGGATCAGCATTTTCAAACCAGGTTTTTAATACGACTCTTCTGGGGTTGGCCGAATAATTTCGAATAATTCACAAGAGATTTCTTTGATTTGCGTGCTTGTCCTTGAGCACGGACAACTATTACAAATATGTGTTGCTTTTTCCACGAGTGATGATATATATAAAAAGTAACGACGAAAAGTCCACGTGGACAGACAAGCGTTTTTGCATAATTATGCAATATCATGGAAGCTTCTGCTGGTATGCTGTCAGGAAAATTCTAAACCCGGGATGGGAAGAGTCGCAGGTGTCCTACCTGGCTACTTTTCCTGCGGCAATTGCGTCGCGTGGTCGGAGACTTAACATGGTGCAGGAGTGCGAAACCCGGCGGCTTCGCAGCTGGAGATGACCCTTGAAATCATCTCAGCTCGTTCTTTTGCGATCATCACGTTCATGGTGGTCCTCGACTGTTCAAATTCGGTTTTTCCAAGTTTTTCCTGGATGGTACAAAATCACAGTGCAACATGCAGATTGCACGTTTCAGACCTCGCAGCACACAGGCTTTGATGGAAGCGGTGGTTGCAAGAATATTAGGGAACTTGACATCAGTTAAATTCCTGTGCTTTTGATGCATTTTGATGCAGTTTGAGTAATTCCTATGCGTGTTGTGTTGGAATATGTTGGAACACTGCTTTGTTCACCCTTTTCGTATTCCCAGCTGTGCATCCTGGACATGAGGCCTGGCAAGATGCCAAAGATTCATCAAGGCATTGAATGGGAATTCCACTGCATCATAGACATTCATAGACAATAGAGGTGTAGGCGAGCAGAGACTTGACAATTCAGAATTTAAGATGATTTACGATAATAATTTATTGTAACTTATTAAGTAATTTATTATCTAAGTATCCCAAGAGGATCGAGGACAGTCGAGGAAAGTTCTTACACTAAGCGCGTACTGTGTGGTTCTCAGATGGTAGCTGTTGAAAGCTTTAACAGCGACCAGGCCGCAGAATGTCTCGGTGGAACGGCCCAGATCTCAGTTTTGCAGCTGGACATCAACTGCCAGCATGGTAGAGGGTCAGGGTGGTAACTTGTAGTTGTCTTCTTGTGCCGCAAACGGTGTGCCGTTGGGAAGTCCATGATATAAATGTCATTCTTACTGGATGAATCAATTGTTTGTGGCATTGATTTTTCTAACACTTTGCAGGGGCACACATGTTTTTGAGACATATTCTTTTTGAGATAGAAACTCATGGGATGGCTTCTCAATAGCTTGACTCACACAGAAGAGAGAACAGTAGAAGAGAAGAGTAGAGCAGAAGAGCCTATATACAGAAGGGTAGAGAAGAGAATCGAATTGAAGAGTAGAAGTGATTAGAGAGGGGTAGAACAGAGAAGGGAAGGCGTAGGCAGGCTACTGGTATAGTTCATGCTGTCATGTTGTCATGCTGCATTGGTTAATGCCGCAGCCCTTTGAACAAGCGGAACTATATAGTGATAGATAGCATACTAATGGTATACCGGTGTAATCAAATAGATTTAAATAGGACTAGATAGTAAAGTCCACACAAGACAATCACTTCATTTTCCCAAGATTCTTCATGCGAGGAGCGATGTCACTTTGTGCCAGTTTTGTTCTAGCTGACACTGCGTTAAGACCTTGAGCATCATGAGCCCAAGTCCTGGTGGTTCTGCGGCAATGATTCACAAAGATGTGTGCTACTGCATCCTGGCTCCATCAGCTATAAGTCATTCAAGTCATTCAAGTCATTCAAGTCATTCAAATCATTCAAGTGTTATTTTGTTTCTTGTGCACATGCTATTCTGGATTAGTTTCTATAGAATTGGTAGTGGAGAGGTTGCTGAAGATTTGTTTCATGCGAGCAAATTGAAACAAAAGAATCAACGAGAATGTATCAACATGACACATTGTTTCCGCTTTCCAGAGATGAGTTTTGAGCCGTTCGGTGTCAATAGCTAGATACAGTTTGTGGTGCCGAATTTCGACCAATCCACAGAAATTTCAGCCTAGGCATCTGCATGTATGTGGAGGCAGACTGCCTCTTAAGACTCGCAGTAGTTTGTCGTGGCTTCGTGGTTGGAAAGCTTTGGGAGGATCGCGTGCAGCGCTTTTGGCCTGGCTTATGGGAACATCATTCGGACGGCGCGTGGCCTGGTTTGAGCTCGATTGTCAACGAAAGAGTGGCCAAAATGATGCTGAACTGCAGTGTTTGTTTAAGCTTTTGCATAGTGCCACTGAAATTTCATGCTTTCACATCAGGAAAATGCAAGGGGAAATGATTCTGCTTTGCAAAGAAGCAACATGATCAACATCTGTGTTTTTCAGAACAGTCCAAGGGCATTCCAAGCCTTGTATGCTGGCACTTCTGGCCGTGTTTCACCCGTGGATGAAGCCATTGCGCGGAAGGTCGCACGGGGCACTGAGACGTGCGCGGAGACGCCTCGGAACATGGTGATGTTTACCTTATATCATCAAGGAACAATGCTGGGTCGAAGCTGCAGCCACTCGGTCCGACCGGTTGAGAGTTTTTAGAGTTTCTGCTTTTCAAATCTTTTCATTTTTAGTGAAGGTGTGCACAGCTCATATTCCGATGCGATTGCTGTGTGACTCTGTGGCCTCCAGGACTCTGCCATGTTTGCCAATGACTTCATGTTGACCCTTCGAACCTTTCCTCTTTAATGATCATAAGATATCATAAGTCATAGTTGAATTAAATGAGTGATAATGCTCAAAGTTACTGATCCCAACCCAAGTTTGGTCCAACTTTGCATTCTGTACAGACTCGACAGACAAGACTGAACACGACCAAATGGTCATGAATTGGGACAACAACGTGCACCATGGCCATCCCCGCTGAGGCAGCATCAGTTTGGTGAGAGCGGAGGCATTGCCATCTTGTTTAGCTGCAGAGAAGGCAACTTTTGCTTTCCAGGTGCCTTCCAAGCTTCAAGAGCTTCTGGACGACTGGTTGTACAGACACTTGGTACAGCAGACTGATGCGAGCTCATAGACTTCGCATGGCTATTATAGAACTATATCATACAGTACTATATTCTATATCTATCTATATCTATATTATTACAATATATTTACTATTCACATATAATTACTTGCAATATATGCATATATATATATTATATATATATGCATGTAGTACACAAAGTAGAGGTGTAAATGGGCTTGCCTTGCGATGATTGAAGGTATTAGCCGCACGTAGCTGTACGTAGCTAGCCCCACAGCATTCTAAAAGGTGAATCAGCCTCAGAAGCCACTTTTCCGCAGCAGCCACCCAGTAAATTTGATTTTCCGAGGATTCATTTGCAATGGTCGGAGTATCAACCGCCAGCTTTTAGTCAGCAACTTGGCGCCTTTATTGTAGTTTTGTAGACTTTGACTTTTGGGGTTCAATTTACATCTAGGGGCTTCGAAAATTGCTTATAGCAAAATATTTGTCACTATCAGAGCTATCAGCACCTAGAGGCGTCTTGTCATCTCGGCAGCTTACTGACTTGTTCCGCTGAGTTAAGTCTGAATAGTCAGTCCTTGACTCGCTCCGGACTTCTGCTTCAAATTCACAAACACATATGATTTTGTATTCAGGCTGTATTAAACAGGGAACTACAGCCATTTGTGCTTTGTGGATCCTTGTGGATATTATGGTGCAAAACAATGAAGCTTGCAGCTTCCAAGAAAATAATGCAAAACACTATGTTCAAATAAATATGTTTAATTATGTAGGTGGCACAGTTCCTGGGTGGGGCACAATTTACATTCGTTACATTCTTCAATCCTTCAGTGCCTAATGAGAAGGGGATTGCCGAAAGAAATGTCTCTCGATTCCCCAATCAGCCTTTCAATGCTCTTCCATGCCAGAGCAAGCAAAGCCAACAGGTTCTGAAGTGAGCAACCCGGACGTCTTGCAGACATTGGAACTTTCAGTTGTTCTTCAGATTTGGGCCCCTGGGTTTGCATTGCTTTGTGCTGAGCAGAGATGCAATTAGGTCGATGCGTTTTGACACGGTCACAAGTGTTGGCCAAATGAGTTGACGATGTTGACGATGTTGACGAAATCCGTTTGTGCCAATGACTTCCCATGTATTTTTGGCAGAAACAAATCACTAATTTGCTTGGCACCTTTGCTGGGGTTGGCGCCTGTAAGCACATGTTTGGCTCCTGATTCTTCTGTGTTGTTCTCTCGAGGTGTGGGAATCCGGTCTGAGAGTGTTGAGCCCCAAAATGCCTCTCCGGCTTGTGAGCCAAGATCGTCAAGGCAGCACTGGATGTGATGGACTTGGCGCCTTCAGGGACTAAATTGGAAAGGGGCAAAGAAGTGATGACGAGGTACTTGCAACTTCAAGAGTTTTCCATCATGTGCTACAGTTGAACCCATGTTTGTAAGACGGGCATGGAAGGAATTGGATGATAGGTTCTTCAGTACTCAAATGACAGTGTCTAGAGTCATTTGTAAAGAGGGCTAGTGCTAAGGGGATGCGACGGGGATTTGATTCTACTTCCGAGGGTGCACTGTGCGACCAATTCTGATTTCTCCACCACACTGAATGCGACACCTCCTTCAGCACATTGCATTGATGGGAGGCTTCCAGCTGCATTTTGTACATTTGCCGTTTGCTGACGCTGACTTCTCCAACTGCATTTCTTTGATGATTGAGACCAAAACGGCCACCGCGCCTAATGCAACCAGCTCAAAGGAGAAATCTGAGAAGCTTTGATCAGAAGACGTGTTGTGGAAGTGAATTTAATATATTTAATTTGGTCTCACTTAACTTATAAACAGTCTGGCTCTAGAATTCTTACTGGGTGTGTTAATATTATGTTACAGTATTTTACATCTTGAAGCAGAAAGCATTGTCATGCATTGTCATTGTATTACATACAATTAAATCATGTATATTATATATAATTATATATAATTATATATAACTATATATAATACATTTTAAAATTATGATAATAATATATTCAGTGTATATTATATATATATTATAGATCCATGTTTCATGCAGATCCCGTCCCCAATGGCCTGGCTGCACCGTTCAGGAAGCTGATGGCATCGGCCACGTTGCAGGGCCGTTCGGGGTGCAGATCTCATCATCAGCACCTGGGCGGATCTGGGCGGCTTCGCCGGGGATTCGCTGTGTTTTTTAGTGCCAAAGATCTGTGGGTCCTTGGTCTTGGAGTTTGGCCCATTATATGATATTATATGCCCCATATGATACTATATGATATTATAATATATTATATATGATTTTATATATGATATTATATGCAATATGCTCATCCGCCGCTGATATTTCAGAGATGTGCTCTATCGGCAGTTTCACAACTACTGAGCGCACTATATCCAGCCAAGAAGTTTTGAATAATTACTGTGTTTTGAAAGAAAACAGAGCCTCCAAACACTTATCACTTGTCCTAGAGGGTTTCTGGCGGTTTCATCACCATTGGCACTAGACAGGCTTTTATTCGATGGCTATTTGCGAGCGTTGGGTCCAATCATCCCGAAAGCTGCTAAGACAGAAGCCAAGAATCCCGCCACTTGGAAGAATGGACATTATTATTTTTTCCTGCAGATGCCCTTTTATGTCCTCTGGATTGCTTTTTGCTTGTTAAACTGTTTGCCACTCTCTCCTCCCAGATCATTTCAGTTGCAAAATCTGAGGCAGCATGAGCTGCCTGGATGGGCCTGCGCCAAAAAAGGATCTTCATAGTACTATAGTTGCTATGAGGTGTAGCAGCCGTTGGTCGTCCTTGAGCAGGCAATTGCAGTGCCAGGTTGCTGCGTGAGGATGGCTCCATGCCATGCAGCACCAATGTGCGCATTGTCGCGGTACCCGGCCGAGCTGCGCACACTTGCTGGAGAGCTGGAGATGGAAACAAAAAACGCTGGTGGCAATCCAACAGTTTGTGGAATGAACATGAATGAACAGCGTGGCAGCTTGCCGGCAGATGCCCTTTGATTCGTTGTGTCGCCCACTGGATGAGGCATGTGTGAGAAGCGGTTGTGCGGGGCAGTGGCGCCGCATGTTGCGGACTTGGGGCCAGCCCGTTCAGAAAGCAGTTTTCTCCGATGTCCGATGGCCGTTGAAGACGTGGTGTTTTGCTCTCCTGACGAATCTATAGTGCAATTTTGCAGCAGCCCACATCCGAAACAGTTGGCTTTGCATAGGCCAAGCTTCGATTCAAAATGAAATTTGCGACACCTGCGTGTTTGAGTTGCGGCAGCATGTGAACCTTTTTGTGAGTACGCTTTCAGTTCTTGTATAACACATTATAACACGTATAACTTGTATGGAATCTTTATGCTGGAGTTGCCCAATTCAGTGCTGAGCAGATGGCGGTCCAACAGATTTAAGTCGTTGATTCGACCTGTGCTTCGTCTTACCTACGAAAGATTTCCATCCAAAAGACCTTCAGTATAACTGTTCTTCAGAGCATCATGTATCATAGCAGCAAGATCACGCAGAGGCAAAAGTACTGTAGCATGAAATAACATGAAATAACTATAATGATGAACATGAGGGAAGGAACTATTGCAAATAAGGGACGCACAAAATTATCCAGTAAACCTCCATGGACGCAAAGTGACTTGCCACTCACCCGGCAACTTGCATTTCTAAGGAGGAACCAGTCCCTTTTCAAGCGATCCTGGTCGAGCCAAGGCGGAACCAACAGTTTGCCCATTTGTTTCCTGCAGACATTTGCACATGGCCTCCAGTCGCGGTTTGAGTTTGTGATATGTTGTAGATACGTTTTTCCAACTTGATGCGAACAGGTTCTGCAGAGACAGAGGTGCGGCAAAGTTTTCCGCAATCGTCTTGCTCTGGTTTTTCCAAGATTGAACCATCACTTCCTTGAGAAGCAACGACAATAATATAGCAGTATATATATATATAGCCTATATATAATATATAGCCTATTATATAGCCTACAATTATAGGGATCAAGATGTCAATGACTTGATATGGGGTTCCAAATCCCAGATCAAACTCGGCCAGGAGATCGCCTACTTTGTTCATCGGAAAACAGCTGTCAGGGGATCCGAGTCAGGAAAACACAACGGGAAAACAGTGGAATGCACACTCTGTACATCTCTGCACCAGAGCAATGATGAGGAGTCAATATTGAATATAGTTGATTGCTATGAGAGACCTGAAAGTTGACTATAAATTCAATGATAGAAAAGGATCAAAAAGGGCAGTTTTGATCCAGCTTAAGCAGCAGCCGATCATTATTGATGTAGAAAGCTGTGCAATTATCATCAATTATTTCATTCCACCATGACTACACTTTGTACGACTTACGACATGTGATGAGATTGCAAACAAATTGTCAAATTCGCTTACAGTAATTAATCAGTATACTACAGTAGATGGACAAAATATTAGAACCCTGCAGCACGCACTATGTTGAACCCCCGCGCCCCCAAATCTCAATGTTTCAGCGCGCTTGTTACCAAAAGTGATGTTAGGGGTTTGATTTTTTTCGTCCATTGGGGCTAATGCATTTCAGGTTACATTAACGCTGAACTTTGGGGGGCAAGGGGGTTGTACCGGATAGAAGGGGTTTGAATATTTCGTCCATCTACGGTATTAGTCCTTCAATTGAACAGAATTTCACTCATTTTGCTTCGATATCTTGCTTTACCAGGGGCACATTGAGACTTGACTGAGACCCTGGCGGAAAGTGCAGCCCTGAGGTTGTGCCCAGCGATGTGCTACCCTTGGGCGTCGAAGAAGGGAGCCGTAAAGAGGAGGTGGGCTTGGTGGGTCCACATCGGCTCCGTAAGATTGCTAAAACTTCTAAGCGGAAAAGAAATTGCAGGGATTTGAACTGATAACATTTGCAGGCACTAATAAAGCAGCAAAGTACAGAAGTTTCCAAGCGCGACCAAAAATGCAATGTTCTCAAGACTCAAGCCGAGCTCTGATGTATCAGGTGGTTGTGGCCTTTCGGAAGAGTGCCGCCATGGCCCCAGAAGCTCTTACCATCGAACACCATCTCTCAACTATGGTGGTGTTGCCCTCATGGTGGTGAATTATCGATCGAAGCAATGGATAGTTAGTTATAGTATGTTATAGTATGTTATAGTATGTTATAGTATGTTATAGTATGTTATAGTATGTTATAGTTAGAACTCTCCATTAGTGAATTGTGTTGCTTCGCCACCACAGTTCGAACCTGTGATTTCCATTTAAAAAATTGAGAGGCCGCGGCAGGCTTCAATTGTAGCAGTGACATCCCTTACATTTACATATTCCGGCGTTTCTCCCAAAAACATCTCCTCCAACCGCCCTTTTTCTTCAACAGAAACAAGTAGGCCCGCTCACTCTTCCTATTCCCTGCAGATATATTGCAAGATGGTGCACTTCTAACTGAGACAGAGACACAAGAAGTCATGGCTTCTTGTCCCCTGTGGGCCAATCTTTGTTGAATGAGGTGGCCGCAAAGGCCGCAGAAAGCTCTTCAACTTCAGATGCCGATGCAGATCCTGTGTTTCTTGGCACGCCAGTTAACACTCGTTCTGCTTTCAGGTCTATTCATAGCTTATCATGGCTGATGATCCCATAATAATATGTTAGCTGTGAAGCACCATTTTGCATCTTACAAAGGGCCAACGCAAAAATCATTGTTTGTTAAGGTTGTTGGGATTGATTCAACTGCGAGAGAGTGTTTGAGTTGTTTGTTTGATTAATTTCTTTGACGTGTTCAACAAGTATCAACAAGCTCTCCATAAAACGACGTTGTTCAATGATGTTCAATGAGTTCTTTGCCCATCTTTGCCCATCTTTGCCCACTTTTGCTGCTGAGGTTCTGCTTCTTACCAGTGCGGCCCGTGGGTTTCCGTTTCTCTCTCCATGCTCCTTGGGCTTTGACCTCCAACCGTGAGGACTTCCACCTGGAGGATCCTCGCAACGTGTGGCTTCGTGGGGTCGCAGCCGAGGCGTTGGCTGAAGCCATTGGCGCCTTTGGTCGCGATGGCAGGGATGGCAGCGATGGCAGCGATGGCAGCAGCAATTTATTGACCTTGTTGGATGGACGCCGTGTCCTGGAACCCTTCTGGCGTCGCTTGTTGGAGCAAGCCGTGAGTTATTTGGGAGATGCTCCAGTAGTACCTGTTGTGGGAGAGAGTTGGTGCCTCTATCGGCCCTCGGAAGTGTTGGTGCCTCCTCAGGCATTGGTGAGATGTCCCGGTGCCATGAAAGTCCTACATGGTCTACCCGCTTCCATGTGGCCTGTGGCCACGGGCAAACGATTGGCACGCGTGGGTGGAGAGGGAATCTCAGAGGAAGTGGCGGAGGAAGATTCTAGAAGATTGTTGTCCCTGGGAGCAGAAGCCTTGAACACTCGGAGGATCAAGAGCCTTTTGAACTGCGGTCCTGTTGCTAGGCTGCTTTATCATGCTTTATCTTGTTTGGTGTGTTCAAACCTGTGCACGACTGGCACGACTGGCTGTGTTGCCTATATGGATACTAGATTTCCTGAATTCGTATGATTCAGTAGGGACTGGATGGTCTATGATTCTGGTACACTTGCTGCTGCAATCAATTCGAACTCAAGAATGGAATCGACAACGAGATAAGTTATTAATTACGGTAACTGTGGCTGCTTAGTGCCAGTTCTGGTTTAATATGGTTTAATTGTTGGAGGCTGTCTAAGTGGACATACCGTTTGCACCTGCAGATAACTGCAAAGCCTCTCTAAAAGTCGATGTGGCAAGAGATTTTTCACAGGCTTCAGCAGTGAATCCAAGTCTTGTCAGGTTGGAGAAGAAATACGAAAAAGCTCCTCGGCTTTTGGTAGCAAGATAGAATTATAGACTGTCACAGCGTGTTACAAAGTTCGGTTTCCAACGTTCACTCCTAAATAAATGACATGCTTGCTGTCCAAATCCTGAGCACCACGAAACACAACAAAAATCATCCAACTGTATGCTGGATCCAACTCATTTGCAGGCTGCAGATCCAAGGGCTCCATGTTGATCCATTTGCTAGATCTGCTCAATGCATTCCTGACGGCTGCAGCGCAGCCAGAGGATAGTCAGCAAGGAGCCACTGGCAGTGAGACAGAGGGTATCATGGTAAGGATCATCTGGATCCAATTGGATCCAATTGAACTGAACATTGATTGAATTCCGATTTGAAAAAAAATGAAAAAAAAAAAACGAGTATTTTCCCAGTAATGCCAACACCGGATTAATAACCCCACCCCAGAAGGTCAGGGTATACCTTGCAAGGTCTTTCCTAGTTTTTCCCGTAAATAAACGCCCCCTTGGAAGGGGTTGATTAATAAGGGGAACCCTCTGATTATTATTGATGGGGCACATGGGCTCATGGGGGGTACCCTTTGGGAGCTATCGAAACTGAAGATTTTTTATAAAGAATTTAATTAGAAATCGATCATTTGGGGAATAGTTTTTTTTTCAATTTTTCAATGATCAGCAGTGATGGATTCTGGCGTTCATGAGGTTTCAACTTAAGTATAGAATAAGGAAACCAATTGAAAATGAAGATAGTTGGACAATAAAACAAAATGGGATTTCAGCACTGGTGGTTGATTAATCATGTCCGGCCAAAACGGTTTATTAATCCTGGGGGACCACCTGTTTTTTTATTGAAAAAAACAATGGGAGGAGGAGGTTGATTAATAACGGGATGTTAATCCTGACTTGACATTACATTCCAAGCTGCCTTGCTACTTGTAGCTGCACAGACTTTGTGGCCAGGAGCTGAGCGACTGGCCGATGTGGTGGCCGAGATCCAGCGGATGAAGGCAGGGAGCACCGAGGAATGTTGCCTGCAGCTGGGCCACACATTTCAGCTCGCTTGTGGTGTACATGGCTTACATATCTTACATAATATGGCTGATATATGCGTATATGGCCCACTTACTTACATATATGAAATTATCAAATCAAATCGGGGTCTCGAACCAGAGAGTTGAAGGTACCTTGTTCCGGAAGTAGTTGTTACAATGTTAAACTTTCACCATGGAAAAAGCTTCAGATGACTAATGACGAGGCTGTGAAAATAGCCAAGTGAGGAACTGCTCGGAAGGTGCATATTTCATCTTTGTCAAGACTCCCCCGGACTCCCAGAGCATCCAAAATGAAAGATTGCGATCAACACTTATATTGCTTGAGAAAGGAATGGCCAATTGAGTTTAATATTGCTTTGTCATTTAGCCAAGCAAATTCGATTTGGATCAGCACATGTGCTCTTGGAAAGGTCATCCCTTTGGACGTGGGCTCTGGACACGTGCGGTTCCCAAGTAAATTTGCTGTTACTTGGATTTCTTGGATTTCTTGGATTTGTATGAAGGAGGGGCTGTATGTTTCTTGAATCTGAGTCATCCTTGCACTGAGTTGGATCCTGGATTTGACATGATTTGACAACCTATCTTTGTTTTTTTCAGCCAAATACTCGAACAAACACAATATCCAGACCACTGCACCTGCGGATGTGATGTCCTTGACATTCCCTCACTGAATTTCAGGCCAATTCAAAGTGGGAAAATGCACAACCTCACCATACTTGACCCCTTTCTGAGATTTTCTGAGCAGATACCACACCAGGAGCCCATCATGAGCAGTTTGGCAGAAGGTGATGTGTGTCTTCCCGCTTCCGGACAAGGAGGAGACTTAGGCCTGTCCTTCATGTAGTTCCTCTGTGCGTATGTGCAATTACTATCAAGATCTACCACAGGTTTTCTGGATCTTACAGACAAGGAACTGGAAACTGAGGCACTTCCCACTTTTTCCATGATGTCATTTCGTTTCACAGTGCATTTCTGCTTGAACTCATTTAATATTCAGTCCATGGTACTGGTTAGGATTGGTTAGGAATGGTTGTTGCCGCAAGACTTGTTTCATTTTTCAACAGCTTCCTTCCGTTTGAATCACCATGAGGATACAAATGTCGGAAGGGACATATGATTCTCCCTTGTAGGAGCTTGGTGTCCTGGCTTGTCGGAGGACGGAAATACTCTTGAAAACAGTTTTCTCAGATCTCGTGTCAGAATGAGCCTCTTGGAAGGAGCGGCTCAACTCCTGCAGTGCCAAGATTTGCCGAGGGTCACATGAAAAACGATAAGGTGAGCAGACACAGAGGCCAGGTAACTATACCAGGTATGTAGCAAAGAATGAAGATCATCTCAGCAGCTCCAGGGTGCTTCGTTACATCATTCAGTCTGGGATGTTTCGTGCTCAAGCGTCGCAAGCGCATTTTGTTATGAAACATCGCTCAGCTGCCCGTCTATCCCGTGGGTACACCAGATTCCTTGCAGCTGTGCCTAGCCAGCACTGGCGAGAACGATGCCTGCGAACTCCGCAATGGTGGAATGGACTACCTGGGCAAAGGAGTCAAGCCATTGACAACGTGAAGTCCAAGTTGGACTTGAATGGCACTGAGAGCAAGACGAACCTGGGCGCCAATGCCATCTTAGGCGTTTGCATGGCCTGCAGAGCTGGCGCCGGCAGAAAGGCATCTCGTTGTACAAGCACCTCAATGAGTTGGCAGGCAAGTCACCCATGTGCATGCTTGTACCATGCTTCAATGTCATCAACGGGGGGTGCATGTGGGAAACTACTTTGCAGAAGCCACGAAGTTGGGACCTGAAACCTACTAGTAGGAATTATATGGAATATTTATGAATATTTTGGATTTATATTATAGGATGAACATGATTGATGTAGGAACATGGGGAGGAATGTGTGAATCATATACAGTATGGATTTTGTCAACAAAGACAAGTTAACTCTTCCCACCAGAACCTTAGAGCATTTTGTCTTCAGCTATTTCATGCTGATTCCCTAGGCCCTATGTGTTTTGTTGTTGTCACTGAAATTCTAATTATCTTGTTGACCCATCTCCACGTTTGGCTTTGCCTTCCCATTGCAATCCTTTTGACCAACCATTTCCCACATATTCCCAAAATGTTTGTTGTTTAAGTTCTTCCATGATAGCAGTTCCTCAAATATCCGGATACATTTCCCGAACTCTGTTCCAAATGTGTCCTATTTTCATCACACATGTTGCCAAACTTGCCAACCATTTACTTTGCTTTTACATGCTATGACCCAAATTATCTCAAACGAATATTTGGTTGATACCTATTCGACCAATTCTTCACTTTGCTGCCCAGGCGGGACCAGCCAAGAGCTGGCCAAGTGTGTAGAATGTGGCGTTTCTCGTGCTGCATCTTAGCAGCTGGTGTTCTTGTAGCGAGGCTTCCTCTGGTGCCCATATTGCTTCTGTGTGTTCTGAATCGCAATTTGTTTTTCTCGGTCAGCTGCATAGGAGTGAACTGGTATCCCCGTGTGGGCTACATCTTCTAAGGCTTCGTGGCGATGAATGCCCCGGCGGAACGCTTGAAATGCAGCAACCCACTGTGCAAATATGTGGCTGCAAGGACTCAGAAAAGATGGGGAGTTTCTATTGCAAAACATGCCACATGATCCACATGCACTTCTGCAGCGAATGTCGAAACGCTGAAGCACGGCGGCCTGTGCGAAAAAGCCGAAGGGTCCTAAGGAGCCCATGACCCAGGATCAAGAGCTGCTGAAGAAGAACGGCAAGAGTGTTGAAAAATGTTGAAAAACGGTAACGGGTGGGCCAAGTAGAATGAACCTGTGGCAGAAGAGCCAGCTGGGCGCATGCAGAAGGGGCCCGATGCCTGCCACTATGCAAGGATTCGCCATGGTTCTCCGGTCACCGATGCGGAGTCCTCATTGAGCTCAGTGCGGAAAGACGGAAACTAAAGAGTAAGTCGTCGAAGTCGCCAAAGTCGGCATTATAGAGATCTGAGAGACGGGAGGTCATGGAGTCCAGCTTGGCAGCTCGGCAGCTCTGCCAAGATAATCAGTGGGGATCTTCGTCTCCCATCCTTCCGCTTTAAAACCAAACCAACTTTATCGCACACCTGACAGTGTGCTTGGGCACAGGACACCTTAAGGCTGGAGCACCCTGCAGGAGTGAACGCGTGGAAAACAACCAGCTGCTGCGGATTGAAAATGAATCAGCTTTGGAGTTCTGTGGCAAGCACTTCCAACAGCCTTGGACTCTCTGTGACGCCTATGGAAGTCCCTCATTCTCAGTGAGCATCATTGGTTGTACCATAGGAATCTCCTCCCGCCATTTTTTGATTGCGCCGTGCCACGAAGTTTTTTTTGTCCGTTTGTCCCACATACATGGACACCTGACACTATTTCTCCCATCTGCTGGCACCGTGCCACCTTGCGATTGATAGATTACGGAATGTTGCACAGATGAACGGAACGAAGAAAATGAGTTGAAGACGCATTTGCATCCAAATATACTAAGGTGTCTCCAAAGCATGCTCATCATGCATATATGCAGCAGCTGCATCCAGCTTGGAAAAAACATGCAGGACTTAGCAACTTCCTTGCTGGCCCATAAAGGGATTCGCGCCGGAATCTCAGGCTTCAAGTTAGCTTCAGGTGCTTCAAGGGTGCAGAAGAGAAATGACGATCTGGAGCCAAGAGAGCATGATCTGGCATCACTTGTCATCATGTCATGATTCACAATCCCACACTCCAGCTGTTTGGCTGGGATTTCAGCTGAGGTCTTTGATTCCTTGGCTTGGAAGGCATTACCAATGAGCAGCCAAGGGTTCTTCAAACAGCAAGCTGCTCAAGGTCAAGGTGTCAAGCAGCGATCAGTTAATATCAGACGCAGCGAGATTTGCAAAATCACCCCATGCCGTCCTCGCAGCTCCAGTTCACCCTGAGGCTTGGTGTTCGGGAGGCGCTTTGTTCGGGCTTTGGGCCTTGATGGAGTAACACTCTTAAGGGACCAACTTTGATTAATTCTTAATAATGTTTTTTGCGCGAGGCAAGGGGGCGGTAAATCATCGATGTGTCCTTTCGAGTCCTTTCACCAAGCAACGCTTTCACCTGGAGGTGCAACAGCTTTTCCGGTTGCCATCTGGCTCAGCTGATATAGCTGGAAGCTGCTGCAGGAGATCCAACACTGGAAAGGTTCCATCACTAAGTAGCCATCAAGCTGACCAGACTGCGTTGATAGTCATACATAGTCATGTAGACCAGCATAGCAGAAACAAACCTGGAACGGAAAGAACTCAGACCAGCGTGGCGAGGTCATCTCGCAGCCATGGAGGTTTTGCTGGATGATATCATTGATACTCACATTCATCTCAGTGAACACTACAAGGGTGGCCTGCAAAATGCTTGGCACCCCAACGAGGCAGAAGGCTTCCGCCGAGATGCTTGCTTGCAGACATCCCGCGAAAGACCTCAAAACAGCTTTTTGACATTTTTTGACCATGTTGATCAATTATGATATTGTATGGTATGATCAATCGAATTTGTGACACAGAAGGGAGGAGCTCCACAAAGTGTTTCATGGCAGGTCTAACCTTTGGATACTTTTGACCTGGCGGGCACCCATATTCAATCCATTTTTTTCACGCTGCAGCATCAAGCAACCAACGTTTTGGAGATCCTGCATCTAGCAATTGTTTTCAGAATATTTCAAAATCGAAGGATGTACACTCCCCCACTGACATGTGAGATGAAAGACTCATGAAAGTAGATTTGGGAATATCCCCAGTTCTCGACTGATTTATTCATCCAGTCCAATCCAATGTATGCCTGCGACTGCATTGTGTTGTCCTTTTCCAAAAGAACAGATGATATCAGATGATGCCCACCTAACATGTCAGGGCCTTTTTTTCCAAGCCCTTTATGATTTTGATGCTTTAGCGCCAAAGTGGTTGGGGGAGACACCGTTGGTTCATGGCAGCCCAAGCCACAGGATTGGAGCTTGGAAGACTTGCGTAGTTCTGCCTCGAAGGGACGTTTTCGCATCTCCAAGGCCATTTTTGTGGAATGTCGCCCAGCTACAGACTTAGAAAAAATTGTTTCGGGCTGCTTTCTCCTGGAAGCAAAGTTTTGTAGCCTTTTCCGTCTATTTGTAGTCATTGCTATAGTTCTTCAGGATTGTCATTGGCTGAAGAGGCATTTCTGTCACTCTGATTGTGTATAGAACTCATTGAGGGTTCGCCGTCGGTCAAGGAGTTCATTCTTGAGATTTCTTGAGTGCCAGATGAGGTTTCAACCAGACAGCCCTGGACGAGGCACAATGGGTTTTGAAGATCATGGAAAGTGACAGTTTTTTGGTGGGCCTTGTGGCTCAAATCTGTGTCCAAAAAGGCGCGGAGGAAGTCAACGCCTTCCTGGAGAACATGAAGAAACAGTACGGTGGTGTACTTCCCAAGGGTCTCAAAGGTGCTCGTTTTGTCATGATGGCTTGGGAGAATCAAGCAGATGACGCCTGTTTGGACCCGAAGTTTCTGGAAGGTTTGGAGGCCTTGGGAAAAGCAGGCCTCCTCTGGGAATTCGCCTGCGAGCCTAGAGTGGCACCATACTTGCCTTCTTGTGCCTTTGGTGAAAATGTACTCAAAGATGGTTCGATTTTGTAGGACTCTTTGTACATGTATTTGATTGTATTCATTTAATCGGTCTTGTCTTTATATTAAAATACATTTATATAATATTAAAATATAATTTAACGTTAAATTAAGACGCTGAATTAACATGTGTTTTCGACCCCCAAGTTTTAGTTTTTGAGCAACGAGCACAAGCTCTCAGAATGTAATATAGATAATATAGTGTGTGCTTGTCCCCTCTTCATTTAGACCTTGTAGTCTAAACTCAGTAGTACACACCAAGGCATTGCAAAGTTCCCAGAGATGACTTTCATTATTGACCACTTGGCCCACAACGGGAACAAGGGTGGGGAGATGGAGAAATGGGGCCCTGCAATTGATGCTCTTGGCAAACTTCCCAATGTCTACATGAAAATGGGTGCTACCGAGCAGTGGAATGTGGACAATCCAGGCGCTGTTTTCCACCATTTTCTACCCTTTTGTCGTTTGTGGATGTGGGTGCAGGTCCACGAAGAAAGCTTGTCATCGAGATGTATTATCTGTAATATAATATTATATAATATATCATATATGAACAGAGAACACTCCAACATACTTATAGAAAATGCAGGCGTTAGGGCCTCCATTGTGATGAAGTATATGTACAAAGATCACAATGCATGGGATATGCATGGGATTTGTATACCCCCGATGTCCTCCACCTTGTTTTGTGAGCCCATGAAGTGCCATGAAGGCCGGGTGTTTTTAGTCCTTTGGCAGTGTCCTTTCTTATCATGAAATCATTCAGATGAGCGATACAATCTAATACAACAGTAATATGTTTGATAGATTCATCCATTTTGGGAGCAAGTCAGTTCGACCCTGCGACACCAGGTGATTACATTGATCGAGCAATTTCTGCCTTCGGCTTTGACCGCATTCTTTACGAATCCAATTGGTTTGTGAATGATGCCATGGGTGACACCTACGACAAGACCGCCCAACTGCTGTATGATGGCTGCAAACGGGCTGGGGCCACAGCCGAAGATCTCAGAAGGGTCTTCCATGACAATGCTTGTAAAGTGTAGCTTGGAGAACATAGCCGTGCCAGAAAACACCATATCATACGATGTCACAAGTACACCTTGGAAATCAAAACCAGTAAGCAACGTGCAGAAACACTACTGTAAGCTAACCTTGGCTGAAAAATGTCTTTTGTAGGACACAACATTGAGGTGACTTTGTAAAAAACTCCTGCAGTAAAACCATGTAGTGTATATATCATCGATCTACTCTGTAGCGTTGGTTCAAAAGGACTGAGAGCTGAACGGATTGTGGTTTAGCCCCATTATAGTTTATACTATATTGTTGGCTGACCTGTGAACATACAGGTTATCAGCCGTAGTCTCACTACTTTGCTATGGGGACCCCAATTGACCATCCTCTCGCCGTTCCAGGGTCAGGTCCATCGGCTGTCGCTGTGCCCAATGTGGCCGGGGGCAACCCCGAGCCGATGGATGACGAAACAATGTTCCAACCCGTTGTCGCGTACTTTACCTTCATACAAAACAACCTGTCCCAGATTACTAGTGGGAATACCCTGCAAGTCATGAGGGAAGCTGAACAGAGGCACCTTCAGATAATGCATGGAGTAGTTGACTCAATTCGAAACGAATGGTCAAGTAGACTCGTAATGCAGGAGCAGGAGTATGAGCAAAGGCTGCAGGAGATTGAAGGTAAGGCCATTAGTGCCGTCAACGAGGAGAGGAAACGAGGCGACGAGATGGAGGTCAGGTTGAATCAGGCTCAGGCATCGAATGACAAAAGAATAGAGGATGTAAAGGCAGAGGCAAACACAAAGCATGATCAGAAAATTGCAGAGGAAAGGCAACGTATCACTAGTGAATTCGAAGCTTCCTATGCACAGACAGTTGAACATGCAAAGAATGCCATAGCTGCCACAAAGAAGCAATATGAAGATCAGGCTGCAATTGATCAGGCCAGGTTCATCAGTTTGAGGACCGAGTTCGAGAACTACAAGAAGGAGATGGCCGACAAGATCAATGAGGCAGCGGCTCAGAACCTTAGCCTTCAGGACCAAATCGATGACCTTCAGGAGCAGTTAAAGCATGTTGCCAAAGCGCAGCATGCCTCCGTTCCGAGAGCATCCGCCCTGAATGCCGAGCCGGCCGCTACCACTAGCGTGCCCCACTTCAATATTGCCACTCCCAAAGCATCCGATGCACAGGCTGCCAAAGGCAGTGACGAGCCGATTCATGAGTTGAAGACGCCTGCAGTGTTGGCACAAGAAGCAAAGGCCAAGTTGGATGAGCTGCTCAAAGGTGGCAGTCCCAAGCAAAAGCCGGCTGTCGGCAACGACCAGCCTCAATTGCCAACGCAGTCAGGGTTTTTCACTCCCACTGAAGCTATCAAAACTCCCCCAAATGACTCCCCCAAGAGCGTAACCAAGCAACAGCAAGTTATGGGTCCCTCAGATCTTATTGAATTGGTGAAAGCCTTAACCCAAAGGGAAGAAAAGGATAAGCCAAAAACTAAGGAGGCCGAACTCATCAAGCTGAACAACATGCCCGCTCCGGAGTCGTATAGGACTTGGAAGAATCATGTCAGGGATGAAGTGAAAAGCTGTTCAGATCGCCCGGATGAGGCGTGGCTCTGGCTCAATGAAGTGTACGATCAAGAGTGCACCAGAGAGCAGTTGGAGAAGAAACTCCAAGATCCTGGAAAGTTCCTCACGCTGGATACAAAGTTATCAGCAGCGCTCACACGCTCAGCCGGAGGGGACCTCGCAACTAGGATCTTGAATTTCAAGGAGCAGCAATCCCGAAAAGGCATCCAGGTCAGGGGAAGGTATGTTCTGCTCATGTTTGAGGACTACTTCAAAACATCAGAAGAAGCAGGTAGCCTTTACAGAGTAGAAGATCTTTTGGGTGTTGTCAAAGTAGGCGATACTGTCCAGGATCTCCGAAGATTCATCAACAAATGGGATGCTACCCTAGCTGGCATGGCTGTCACTCCCGATGATGCTGTGTTAAGGGACATCTTATTGAGGCAGATCCGACCAAGTCAGTTGCTGAAGTATGACATCGAGATGTTTGACCGTGCTCATGAGAAATCCCATGAAAAGTCTTATAGTTTTCTTCACCAATCCATGAAGAACTTGATCGATCGTGAACGATTGAGGGAGAACAGGAACCGCATCGCGGAGAAGAACAAGGCTGGGATCAAGGACACAAAGGCCGCACCTGCCAAAGGCGATGGTCGCGGTGGCCGAAAGGGCTCTCCAAGTCGCGGTAGATCGCAGGAACGAGGTGGTAAAGGTGACAAGATTTGCTATAAGTTCCAAAAGGGTACCTGTGATAAGGGGAAGAAGTGTCCATTCAAGCATGTCAAAGATGATAAATCTCGAACTCAATCACCCAGAAGAACCAAAACACGCTCACCATCAAGGGGCAATAAAGATGATAAGGGGAAGAAAATGTCCAAGGAAGAAATGGCTAAAACCCCATGCATCTATCATGCCCAGGGAAAGTGCAGACGTGGTGACAAATGTTTTTATAAGCATGATGACAAAGCTGCTGCCGCCACCAAAGACACCAAAAGGGCCAATTCACCCGCTCCCAAGAAGAAGAGCAAGGATTCAACAGCCGCTCCATGCCTGATCCAGAAGTTTGCATGCATCGTCCGAAAACAGCCGAAGGCAACTTCGTGCTCTGATGAGTCAAGTGTCAGCATGAAGCGCCTTAGATTCCGAAAGGCCCCACATGTGATCGAGGTGAAAGCAGTTGGTCGTCAAGTCCCAGTCAAGCACCGTCCAAGAGAGTTCACTAAGGTGTACAAGACAGCTGAAGATGTTCCAGTTTCATCCAAGGTTGAACAACATGAGGCTCAGGTTCGTGCAAGACAGCTTCAGGAAACTGTGAAACTTCATGATTCAGATGTTGCACCTAGTTGTGGGTTTTGTTGTTGGAATGAGGACACACGTGACATCACATGCAAAGAGTGCAGGTTCATTAGCGGTCCCAAAGCCCTTAGAGACATTGGTCGATTCCCGTCAATTGCCACAGCCGCGCCAAAGGCCGGTGTTAGTTGGCTTGTCGACTCAGGTAGTGAATCCGATCTTGTGTCCAAAGGAATGCTGAGGGATGTCAGTGCCAAGAACTGCCGTGCAGCCGAGCATCCGATTTCCTTAGTCACAGCCAATGGTTCGACCGAGGCAAACGAGGTTGCTGATGTCAAGTTGTCCGCATTGCCAGATCCCGTGCATCCGTATGTACTTGATCATACCCCAGCTGTGCTCTCCGTAGGAACGAGATGTGTAGATCAGGGTTACAGTTTCGTATGGCCTGCCAATGGCAAACCAATCCTAGTCCGTCCAGATGACAAGGTCGTCCAGCTCAAGATCGAAGGTCATGTCCCAGTTTTGGATGATAGTTGCAAGGTTTATCCCAAAGATCAATTTCAAAAGGATAAGCACCTCAGAAAGTTGTTTGCAATGCCGACCTCACGGTCGAGCTCAAAAGCCAAACGGGACGAAGCCCAAGATGAAGAGCAATTGGATGAGCTGGTGGAGGATGACGCTCAGCAGGAGTACATCCGAAGCCGCAAGACTGAGGATCTGTTGGCTGAAGCTGCAAGTACCCAACATCAGTACACGCATTTCCCCAAGAACCCCTTTTGCAGAACCTGCCAACGAGCAAGGATGATGGCACCTCAGGCACGAAAGAAAGGTGGTCAGAAGAGAATCGAAACTGAAGTGTTCGGTGACCACGTCATTGGGGATCATGTCATCATCAAGAAAAACGTAGAAGAGGGTTTCAGGGGGGAGCAAGTTGCATTGGTGTTGAAAGATCTGCACACCCAATATCGGTATGTCTACCCTAGCCAGTCCAAGGACTCACAAAGCTGTGTTGATGGTTTGAATCACTTCATTGGATCAAAGGATGATGTTCAAGTTGTGTACACTGACAATTCCCCAGAATTGATCAGGGCCATCAAGGATTTGGGTTACAGACACCAAACTTCCATTGAATATGTAGATTCATCAAAGTCTTTTGCTGAGCGCGAAGTTCGTCAGATGTTGGAAGGTGCCCGGAGCAACTTGTTGCAATCAGGACTTCCTTTGAAGATGTGGCCATTGGCCATGCAGCATCATGCGACCGCGATCAACGCAAGCCCCCAGCTTGACGGCAGTGAATCCCCATGGCAACTCAGGTTTGGTGAAGAGTTCCCTGCAATGCACATTCCATTCGGTGCCAAAGTGTTATTCTGGAATAACCCCAAGAGGTTGGATAACACATCAGGTAAGCTCTCCCCAACAGCAAATGAAGGAATTTTCCTTGGGTATTACATCCAACCAGGTCATGATTGGAAGGGTGAATACTTAGTTGCCAAGTTGGAAGCCGCAGATTATCATGTCAACTGGGGTGCACTGACAATTCAAAGAACAAAGAGGTTGGAATTGCCATCCGAGGGTTTCATCTTTCCTTTGAAAGCTCTGATTGACTCGAAAGCACCCAAAGCCGATCGCCTCGAGGACCAGGTCATTCCACAGACACCCAAAGCTGTGCCTCTTGAGTCCAGGTTGCATCCGCCACAAGATGAGTATGAATACGAGCCAGGTACGCCTCTACCAGCCGACAGCGATGTCGAGCCTGATGCACCCGAAGCGCCCGTATTTCCAGATCTCAAATTGACCCCTAAAGGTGAAATAATTCCAGATGGACATCATTGGGATGGTCACCGGATTGTACGTAACTATAAAGGTTCAAAGCGTCCGGAGGGGATCGACTCAGAATTGTGGAAGATGTTAGGACCCCAAGATAGGAAGTTGATCATCGAGGAAGAAGCAAAGAAAGCAGCCAAGGAGCAGGAGGAGAAGCCAGCATCTTCATCTGGCAGCAAGGGCAAAAAGAAGAAGTCTTCACCGGCCCGGCTTGAGGCAACTCAACGCCCTCCTGCAACTGCAAAGCTCGTAGGCAATGTTTGGGAAATTATTCCAGCCACTTCCCAAAAGTTTTCCGTGCCGGCAATGCCAAAAACTGCCGCGCCTGCCACAATTGAGCACCGG